TTCTACATATTATCATATGAATGAACGACATATTTATTTGATATGTTCCACTTATAGATCGTATTGAAAACAAAAAAAACACACATGTTACAATTACAAAACCCAAAGACCAAAAAACAAAGAAAAATTCGTGAGTTTTCGGAATACAGTCACGTAATGTTAACATTTCATGTTTTATGAACATACTATATAGTTGATATGTTTCGAACTTCCTGCTCTAATTAGAGATAACTATCAATGAGATGTTTCGAGTAGATCGAAAAATTACCACGGAATCAAGGCGTTTGAAAATTTAGAAAGAAGAAAATGACCGGTCTATATATAGCCAAACAGCACAGCACATAAAACCAAAAGAAAACAATAATACTATATGAGAATTTGAGACCCTTCCTCTCAACAGCCTAGGAGAAAAAGAGAGAAACATAAGAAGGAAAGAAAAAAAAAACATCCATTTGAAGGGGTTCAAAGATCTTGTCAGATCGGGACCAAAAAAATGTAAGAAGAAATCTCTCTCTCTCAGCATTCATTTCTTTCTGGTATTGTCTGTCTTTCGTGTGTTTGTGTTTCATGGGATTTCTCAAATGTTGTTTTGTCTTTCAATTTGTGCTTTTTTCTGCAAAGTTTTGAGCTTTGAGGTTCTATCTTTAATGGGTGCTTCTCTGTTTTTGTCATTGTTGGCTACAAAATTGAGTTTTTAATTTTTTTTGGTGAATTTTTTGCTCAGAAATGAGAGATTTTTCTCAGCTGGCTTATTTTTTTCTTTTTCTTTTGGTGATTCTAAGGTTAATTTTAGCTCAGAAATGTAAAAAGATGGGAACTTTTTATGTTTTTGTGATTGCTGGTTATGGGGTTTGCTCAGATTTGTTTGGTCAATCAAATTTCTAATTTGGCGCAAAACCGAGGGCAGTGGTGTTGTAAGATTCATATGGCGAACCTCACTTAGTGGGATAGGGCCTGGTTGTTGGTTTTAAATCAAGTTTCTAAATTTCCCTCTTGATTTTTATTTTATACCTTAAAATTGAAGCTACCCTCTTTTACTTTAGCTTTTGTAATTGTTACTTTAATTTTATTAATTTATTTATTTATTTGTTGGGTTCAATTCATTTATTTAGATGTCTTGTTCCTTAAATTTTACCTAATTTATCTCCTGTTATGTCTTAGTTAACGTGATTATAATTGTATAAATGCTTTGCATAATTGAGTTTGGTAAAAAAAACATAAAATAAAAAATTGACTAGTTTCCGGTGACCAGCAAACTAATAAGACCACCGGAATTCTATACAAGAACTTCTCCTCCGGCTCCGGCACATAGGATTGGCAAAGTACAATGCGTTTTATTTTTTGTGTTGTTTTCGGATTTACAAAGTACAATTCGAAGTCTGATCCACCCTGTTCGATTGGAAAAGCCCAATTTTAGAGGCAGAATCTACAATGTGGAGCACTCTTCCTAGAAAAGGATTTATTTTAATGGTTCATGTGTCTCTTAATAAACTTTTCGAGTTGCAGGTTTGCGATTTTATGTTTTATATAGTTTGCTGGAACTTGGAAAACCTGCAATGCTTTTTGTCTTAATTTCTTTGCGTGTGTGCTCGCGTGTGTGTTTGTGTTTCTTCAAACTCTGTCATTGGAAAGGATGTATTTGGCATTGTAATATGGATTGGGAGATCTAATGTACCTCGAAATTGTCTCGGTTTAATTTGACATGTTTTTCAACAGATAAAGCTTCATAAGTTTTTTGGTCAATTTGAAGAATTTGAAATCTATTTGAAGATGGAATAATTTACTTGTAAATAAGTAACGCTTTGTTAGTATATTATCTAAGCTTATCAAACGAGCGTATTTGATTTTTCTCATGCAGTGTCATGGGGAGGGAAGGTACTGGTATGAAGGTGGGGAACGGAGAAATGGAGAGGAAGGTGGTGGAGAAGAAGATTAATGGTGTCGTGGTGACTTCAATTGGTTTTTCTCGTGGTAAGGTCCATGTTGCTCCCAAAGTTTCAGAAGAAAGCATTGAATCAAAGGATTTCAAGGTGAAGGACCCTGTCGAAGAAAACAAAGTTGCTGTGGAATCTGAGGAGAAGCAAAATGTGCTGGCTGTTAAGAGTACAAATCTTGATGATGACTCAACTGATGCCAAAAATGAGAAACCTGAATTTCCGAAGCCGAGCGACATTAAAAAGTTAAACTTACCTGCTTTAAAATCCACTGCTGCTGAAAATGGGCATTCAAATCAGACTGTTGGGGCTGAAACTGCCGCTGCCAAAAAATCCAGCAATTCTGAGCCTCCTGATGCTAATAAGAGTTCACAGTCTCCTCTTGCTACTAAGAGTCCAGAGTCTCCAAATGCAGAGCCCCCCAAGAGTTCACAGGTAAAACCGTAAAAATACTATATTTTTCTTTCGCAGCTCTAAAGGATTCATCCGCTGGTTCAAGTCAGTCTATTATATATGGAACTTTGTTGAGGTTGCTGAATATTGATGCTTTCATTCGGTATTGCAAATGTGTAAGATTTTGTGCTTGTTCTAGCGTGAAACCATACCCCTCTTTAGAAGTTTTCAATTACATGTTTATAAGATCTCACGAAGAATGCCGCCTCAGTTAAAATGAGTTTCATTTGGCTCGAAAAGCATCATGAAACTGAGAAGAATTATGAACTTTTGCTTGTAAACACTACAGCAGCGTTATTGTAGATTTGAGATGGTTCTAATTACAATTTTTTCCCCCCATTTCATTTCAGCCAACTTCACCTCAGTCATCAGGAGAGGGCGCGGAACATGATACTAAGAAGCATGCTAATGAAGAAGATATTTGGTCTCTGACTTCCTCGTATCCTTGGTTGACATTTGAAGCTTGAATTTCTTTGTTTTCTACATATATTAGAAACTGTTTATTGCATTAGCATTATCCTTAACAAAGAATAGAACTACTGCATCTCGAACACCTAAATTCAAGGTTACTGTTGGACAAGCTCCCACGTTTAGGATCTACGAACGTATAGAGAAAAGGAAAGAGGTACTTTCATAATAAAACAAGTGACTGTGTATATCTCGAGGACTACTTTTTATCCGCACAATCTAACGTGTAACTGATGCGATTCCCTTTGCCTAGTTCTACTCGAAGTTGGAGGAAAAGCATCAAGCTATGGAGGCAGAGAGAAGCCAGTGGGAAGCAAGGGCCAAGGTATGCCACATCCCTGTATTATCTATTATTTTCCCGTGCATTAATCATGGGTGCCACACGGGTCAACGTTTTCTTTTGGGTGTTAATTCTTCCGCACATGATGAGATCCGTTTGAAAAGTCATATTTTACATTTTCCTTCGTTACACTTTCAGGAAGAGCAAGAAGCAGCCATCAAGGCACTGAGGAAGAGCATGGTCTTCAAAGCGAATCCAATACCTAGTTTCATTTACGAGCCCCCTCCTCCTAAGGCCGAACGAAAGAAGGTAGCTATTTCAAATCTTGTCAGTTGTGTTCGACTCCTTGTGAGTTCCAGAACATATTGAAATTGACCGAAAAGAGAAAGAACATAACTCTTGGTACACGCGTCAACTGAAAATAAAACCAAAGAACTGGGACTTGGAACTTGATTAAGTGTTTGATTAAGCGATTAATCTGTTTTTGAGGACTAGATATATTGTATCATTGGGGATAATCCTAGTCCGAGTAATGTAGCGATTCCTCATAATAGCTGCACCTTTTGTTGTGAGATGAACTTTTGTGTGTGCTTGTATATGATTTCAGCTTCCACTCACTCGGCCCAAGTCACCAAAACTAAACAGTCTAAGCCGGAGGAAGAGCTATGGCGATGCAATCACCAACTCATCCGCAGAGGAAAAAAAGAAAGGCTGTTCTCGGGCACAACGTCACAGCCTTGGCACTCAGAAGGAAGAATCCACGCCTCCCAAAAGTAAGGCTCAGTCCGGAAGGCGAAACAGCCTTGGCGGTTGCAAGACCAAAGACCATTCGAAACACGGAAAGGAAACAACGGAAACATCTTCAAAGACCGCCGAGCAGACATCGGATTCGAATGACGACGGACACAAAAGCTTCCTTTGACATCAAGCGCGAAAAAAAGGGTTTTGAATTTGGTGGGTTTAACATTTGGATGAACTGAAGAGAAATAGCTTTTGTTTTACTTTCCTCCACAAATGACTTGTTTACTTGGGTTTGTGTTAATTGTGAATTGTATATGGTTTTGTAAGTTAAACCGGTAACTGGTACATATCTCATCTCATCTTGTTATATATAAAAGGTTTAGGCTTTCTGTTTCATGTGAGACTGTTAACATGTTTACTTACGAAGAATGAGTACGAGGGTAAAAGAAATTTCCAATTTTTTCCACGTGCACTAATACATGAGGAATAAAAAAAAAATGTGATCTCGCCTTGAATCTGTAATTTTAAATCAGAAATTGGATCAACCAGGGGATTAGTTGATCCAATTTTCATTGTTTCTCTATTATCTTGCTTCCCCTCGTTCTTGATAAGTAAACATACTAATGTGCAATATGATGAACTTGAAGATCCGTTTCAGTTGGTCATGTACTAAAAAAACGCCTAAAAGCTAATGTTTGATCTCTAAATAATAATTGTACACATACTCAAATGTTAGGGGACCAATTGATGGCTTCGCTGCTACAACCCACTTTCTAGGGACGGGAAGACTCACAGAGATATTTCAGTCTCTCGTTAGCTATCATCGTGTGATTCACGAGTGCCAGAAATCGAATCCAAAACATACTATATGAAATACGAACTTAGTATTCGTCTCCGACCAGAATCATCTCGTATACTCAAATGTTTTCTTAATGCGTTATGTTTTTATATGTTCCTAGACAACTTTATTAATGAAATAAAGTTTAACCTTTTTTATTAGGGTCGGATAAATGTTTATCACAGCTTGTCACTTGTCAGAAAATCAGACAACATTATGGGGAGATCATTCCACAAAAACAACGTCGTAATCATACAACATTAACATTTTAACCACATAAATTACTCTCCCTCCAATCTCCAACAATTTCTGTCGTATAATCTCTCTCCCTCCAAAAACTCCACAACCATGCTTTGCTCCTTCCACTCCCCTCTCCGCCTCCACCCCCTCAAAACCCACAAGCCCCTAACCATAATCTGCTCCTCCCAACCCAAACCACCACCGCCACCCAAGAAACGAGCCGCCGCGGACGGCCGAAGGCCCTCCCCCAGGTTCGGTAAAAAGCACGGCGCCTCGAGAAGGTCGGTTCTGAAGAAAACGTTCAAGCAGGAGCAGGTGAGCTTCACCACTCCAATTTCCGATGACCCCATTGTTGGTATCATCGGCGGAGGCATGGCGGGCCTCGCCTGTGCTCTCTTTCTGGAGAAACGCGGCGTCCGCTCCACCGTTTTCGACACGGTTTGTTGCTTATTTCCTTCAAGTTTTTAGCTTTTTGTAATTGGTAATGTTTGTTTTGATGTGAGTGTTTTTAATTTTATCTGTTTAGTTTGTGTGGATTATTTACTTTTGTTATTACTCTGAATTTTCATTTGTGGATAAGACATTGCAAAAAGCTTACACCTTTACTATGCTAGTTGGTATTTACTATTTAGGCTCGTTTGAGATTGCTTTTGTAAGAAGCATTTTTGCTCAAAAGTGCTTTCACTGAAAGTGCTTATAGGTAAACATATCGAACTTTTTATTTAAAATCAAGTGCTTCTTAAAATTCACTTGGAAGTGTTTCCTTAAGAAGAACCTAGCAAGTGCATCCTTTGAAAGTGCTTCTGCTAGAAGTGCTGTTATCATAAATATGTCAAATTTTAGCAAAATATCAAGCGGTTCATGGAATAGCACGTAGAGGTGCTTCCTAAAGCAGTACCGAGCGAGTGCTTCTCTAGAAAGCGGTTCTAGGACCCAGAAGTTCTTTTGATTTTTTCTATCATACATAGTATAATATGCTTTTGGGTTGTCAGAAAGCAGTTTTAGCTCTTTTAGAAGCAATCCCGAGCATGCCCTTAATGAAACTATGGAAAAGAACCCCGAATGGGATGCATATATAGTTATGGTTACCAAGTTATAAATTTGAAAGTTGGATTTATGTTCCAAATGTTTCTAGTGCCACATGACAATGATTTGCTGTCATAGGGTATTCATGGTTTGGGAGGAAGATTGGGAACCAGAGTAGTGGATCCTCAGCCTCTGATATTTGATCATGCAGCTCAGTTCTTTACAGCCAGTGATCCTCAGTTTGTTGGGTTGGTTCAAGGGTGGTTGGAGCAAGGTCTGGTTCGAGAATGGCAGGGTACGATAGGAGAGCTTGAAGTGGGTGGTAATTTTGCTCAGCTGCCTTCTTCTTCTCCAAGGTATGTAGGTGCTAATGGAATGCGCCCCGTTGCTGACTCATTACTTTCTCAGGTAAAGTAACCTTGCTTCTAGACTCATATTTATAAATTATAAATGTAAGATTTAGTTGGTTCGATAGCATGGTTAGACTTGTTAAGATACGGTAACATTTAGTAGCTTCAATGGCATGGTTGTCCTTGTTAAGATATGCTGATTGACGTTTTTAACATACCATGTCATGGCTAATTAGAATGTTGATACGTGGTGCAGGCTCGTATGATTAATGTGGAGAGACCTTGCTGGATAAGTAAACTCGAGCCCTTCAATGGGATGTGGCATTTGAGTGAGAATGGAAAACCGCATGGGAAGTTTGATGCGATTGTTATCGCGCATAATGGTAACATAGTGCCTCGTTATTGCTTTTCAAGTGTAATTTTCTGTTGCTGTGGCATCTTCACATCATACAGAAACCTTAAATGCTGTTTGCCTTTTTTCTTTTTGTTTTTGAAAGCGTGTTGCATAATTCATTGTATAGGGGCTTTTCTACATGTTCGTGTACGCATCTGATATTCACAATGCCCTTGTATATGTTCTTGAATGTGTGTGGTCACTCTTCTCTTTTATTTAATTTTCCAATAGGTAAATGTGCAAACCGCTTACTTGCATCATCGGGCTTACCACTAGTTTATGGACAAATGAAGGTACATCTAAAATCCATGGGTTCAATTGATTTGATGTCACATATCTACGTCAATTACCCTTTCGGTCATGATTGAATTGTCTTGAACTGTATTCTACTGTTCTTCTAATGCCTTTCTGTTTGATGCTGGTAGAGGCTGGAATTGAGCTCGATATGGGCCCTCCTTGCAGCATTTGAGGATCCACTTCAAATTCCTTTCGAAGGAGCTTTTGTAAAAGGGGTTGATTCCGTCTCTTGGATGGCAAATAATACCACAAAACTCCAGGGTTCCCAAAGTAAAGGTCCTCACTGTTGGACCTTTCTTAGTACTGCAGCTTATGGGAAGCGGAACAAGGTTCCACAGGTATATTTCAACGCAAACACAGCCATATATTCACACAAGAGCAAGCTGTTTACAAAAGCACAGATGAAAGGCCCTTGATCATTACTTGAAATGAAACGAACGAGAGTTATGAGGATTTCCAATTTAGACACCGAATTGTCATGCATAATACTTTGTTAGAAGACTAGTAGATATGACGTTGCGCTAACTGTCAATGTGCAGGAGAATATACCAACTGCCACGGCAGAGAAGGTGAAGGCGGGCATGCTCTCGGGTGTTGAAGATGCTCTCGGATTACCTAAAGGATCACTTCAGAGCCCCTTTTACACTCGAATCCAGTTATGGTGAGAAGCTGCACTGAGTGATTATGAAGCTTACTTGAATGAAATGCTCTTGTAATTCAGAGGTTTATTTTTACGTAATGTGGGATATGCAGGGGTGCGGCACTTCCAACTAATACACCCGGCGTCCCCTGCATCTTTGATCCTCTTGGAAGGGCTGGTATATGTGGTGATTGGTTACTGGGTTCAAATGTCGAGTCAGCCGCCTTAAGTGGAATTGCTCTTGCCAATCATGTAAGTCTCTCTTTGAATTTCTTGTTTTTCTTCACCAAAAGATCAAGTAATACAAGGAAAGTTGCAAGGAAGAGTTCCATGAATCGAATTGGTTTTCCGAATGCAGATTGCAGACTATTTCCAAAGCAGCGGAGACCGTCCTGAAGAGTTTGCTGTTGGTTTACGCAATGAGTTTCAAAATCTTAAAGGACATGATATCGGACAATTTCCCGGGATGGAGTTTGAAACACAGACGGCTACAGAACAAGCATACGAACTTACCACTTAAACCGCGTCATCACATGAAGAAAGTTAGAGGTTTTGTATGCCATTGAGCTTTCAACAACATATGGTTCACACCAAAATGTGAAGCAATACAAAGAGGATCAAGTTTCGCATCCTCTCTGTATGTAAAGGGTAGCCCATGTCAAGGATGCAGAGTAGGGAGCTGGTTGCCTCTTCTCCATGTTCATGTTTTCGTGTTGTGTGTTCTATGTGTTCATGTTATAACACGTGTATCTGATGCCGGTGAATGTGTATCAAACTCTAATTATCCAATTTTGTGAATGTCTATTGAACTCTAATTATCCAATTTTATGCGACAACCCGTTCCTTAACATAATAATAAATATGGATTAGATTAGATGATCAAGGTAAAGATGAAGATGCTATATCATAACTAAAGTTGATTAGTTATTAGTTTTGTATAAGGTGTCATTTATGTAATGAGTTTATCTTGTGTGATAGCTTAGACTAGCTAAAGGTAAATAGTCAAAAGACTATATATATGTAATTGTATTATTCCTTTGACATAATGAGAAAATACAGAAAGCTTAATACTTAAGAAACCTCTCTCTCTCTCTTTCTTTTCTCTCTTCTTTCTTCTCTCTCTTTCGTTTGCAAGAACACAGATCTTCTACATGGTATCCTTCGCCGCTTGCCTCACAGCCATTTCGATCCATTCTTCCGCTTTGTTTCTCTGATCTTTGCTGTTCCTTTCTTGCAATTTGTGTTTCTGATTACCATGGCGTTTCCGTCTGATTCTGCATCTCCTGGATCTCTTCAGAATTCTGCCCCAAATCCTTCGACAAACCCTAATTTGTCAAATTAGTATGCTTCTCTCACAATTCAGAATATTGGCAGCATGGTGCCGATCAAGCTCAAGAGATCTAACTATCTTCCATGGCGTGCTTTGTTTGCACCGATTCTCCGACGCTACAAACTTCTAGGTCTAGTTGAAGGTACTGAGCCATGTCCACCGCCATTTCTTCAAGATCAAACCGTTAATCCAGATTTTGAGATCTGGTATGAAAAGGATCAGAACCTGTTGATTTGGTTGAATTCTACACTATCGGAAGATGTCATTCCGTTTACTGTTGGTGTCTCTTCTGCTCGTGATCTTTGGATCAAGCTGGAACACCGTTTTGGTGGTGTCTCTGATGCTCACATCCATCAACTCCGGTCTCGTCTTCAAGCAATTCAAAAAGGTGCTCAATCCATGGCGGATTATCTTCAACAACTCAAAGAACTCTCTGATTCTCTCTCTGCTGCTGGTGCACCTATTTCTGATCGAGATCTCATTGCGGCCACTCTTGCTGGACTACCTGATGAATTTGAATCATTTATTGATTCCGTCATGTTACGCCTCTCTTCCACGTCTTTGGATGAGTTACACGGCCTTCTTCTTACCAAGGAGCTTTCCATGTCTCGGCGAAAGCAGATCTCTTCTTCCTCTACAGCGCCCTTTCAAGCGTTCTCTGCTCAGTCTCAACCGCCTCTTCTTCCAACTCCACCGCCTCAAGCATATGCTGCTCAATCTCAACAATCTCTTCGATTCACCTCGAATCGTGGTCGAACTAACTATCGCGGTAATCATTATCCCAATTCTGGTCGGTATACCAACAATCGTGGTTATAGAGGCAATTATCGAGGTTCATCTTCCAATCGTGGTCATCCACAAGGTGTTCGTAATTCTTATGTCAACAGCTCTCATGATTCTTGCCAAATCTGTGGTTCTCATAGTCATGCAGCAATCGATTGCTTCGATCGCATGAATCCTGGCATTTCTGGGAAGATTCCTCCTGCAAAACTTGCAGCCATGTGTGCTCACTACAACTCCAAATCTTCTCCCTCTTGGCTATTGGACTCTGGCGCCACTTCTCATATCACTCACGACATTGCCAACCTATCTTCACCAACACCGTACACTGGCGAGGACAAAGTTTATGTCGGTAATGGTAACGGTCTCTCTATTCATCATATTGGCTCTTCTTCTTTGCATTCTCCTACTGCTAAATTTCATTTGAGTAATGTCCTTCATGTTCCTCAAATGAAACACAATCTGTTATCTGCATCCCAATTTCTCAAAGATAACTATTGTGCCTTAACACTTGATTCTGATGGATCTGTTCTAAAGGATCGTGCTACGGGGAGGACGCTTTTGCAGGGCCCCGTTAAAGATGGCTTTTATCCTCTGCGAAGTTGTCCTTCCATTCCTCCTTCTTCTGGATGCACTTATGCTTTTGTCAGTGCTCAAGGTTCAGTCAAACTGTGGCACAGTCGACTGGGACATCCTTCCTCCTTTATCTTTCGCAAAGTAATCTCCAGCAATAAGCTTGCTATTAAAGGTACATCCTCTGTTGACTTCTTTTGCTCCCAGTGTGCTATTGCGAAGAATCATAAACTACCCTTTAGTTCATCAACTACATTCACTTCTCAGTCCCTTGAGCTATTACATTGTGATTTGTGGGGACCTGCTTCTGTACCTTCAGTGAGTGGTTTTCGGTTTTACTTTCTTATTGTTGATGACTCTAGCAAGTACAGTTGGTGTTTTCCTTTAAAGAATAAATCAGAGGTGTACTCTACTTTTGTAATCTTCAAAGCTTATGTTGAGAATATTGTTGGTAATAAAATCAAGATTCTTCGTTCAGATTCTGGGGGTGAATTTACCAGTTTGCAATTTAAGGCTTTTCTTCATACTCACGGTATTGTTCATCAACTTAGTTGTCCCCACACACCAGAACAAAATGGTTGTGTGGAGAGGAAACATAGACATCTTGTGGAGACTGCTCGGACCTTATTAGTTGAATCTAGTCTTCCTCATCTCTATTGGGTTGAAGCCTTTACCACTGCAGTTTATCTTATTAATAGACTGCCTATCTCAGGAAATACAAAATCTCCGTGGGAATTGCTGTTTAACAAATATCCAGATCACTCCAAACTTAAGGTCTTTGGGTGTAGTTGTTATCCATGGTTAAAGCCCTACATTTCTTCTAAACTTGATGGGAAAAGTAAGCGATGTATCTTCTTGGGTTACAGTTTGCAACACAAAGGTTATAGGTGTTTGGATTTGGACCATAATCGGATTTATGTCTCTAGGCATGTTACTTTTGATGAGGCAACTTTTCCATTTAAAGATGTCATCTCTGTCCAATCCTCTGTTGATCAGTCTCATTCTGTACCTTCATCAATTGATCTTCACTTTTTCATGCCCACATCTATACCCCCTGCACCCGTGTCTTTATCATCCTCACTACCATCTTCTTCCCCATCTACTATTCCTTCTCAACCTGTCTCTCAACCTGTCCCTCAACCTGTCTCTCCCTCTCCTTCTCAATCTGTTCATCAATCTGTTCCTCAACCTGTCCACCCACCTATCCCTCAACCTTCATTTGTTTCTAATCTGCATCCCATGGTTACTCGCTCCAAAAATGGTATTCATACACCTAGAGTATTCACAGCTACTAAACATCCTCTTCCTTCATCCACAGATTACATTCCTCATACTTACCTTCAAGCCTCTAAGTTTGAACATTGGAGAATGGCCATGCAACATGAATTCAATGCTCTTTTATCCACTGGCACTTGGACACTAGTTCCTTCTTCACCCTCTCACAATGTAGTTGGATGCAAGTGGGTCTTTCGCATCAAAAAGCATCCTGATGGATCCATTGAGCGATACAAAGCACGCCTTGTTGCTAAGGGATTTCACCAAAAGGAAGGTCTTGACTATACAGAAACCTTCAGTCCAGTTGCAAAGCCGGTTACTATCAGACTGTTGTTATCCTTTGCTGTCCAGTTTAATTGGTCTCTCAAACAACTGGACATCAGCAATGCTTTTTTGCACGGTGACTTAAAAGAAGATGTGTTCATGGTTCAACCACCTGGGTTTCAAGATCCCAGCAAACCTACTCATGTGTGCAAACTCAGAAAATCTCTCTACGGCCTGAAACAGGCTCCTAGAGCTTGGTTTGACAAATTATTTCAAGCTCTTCACTCTCTGGGCTTTAGTCAATCCTCTTCTGATGCATCCTTATTTGTTCTTCATGCTCCAACTCTGGTTCTCGTACTTGTATATGTTGATGATATTCTGGTCAGTGGTCCTGATGCTCACATCTGCAATCAGTTCATAGCTCAATTGAGTACTTTGTTTCCTGTTAAAGATCTCGGTCCCCTGCATTACTTTCTGGGTCTAGAAGTTCATCATACACCAGATGCTATGATTCTTCATCAAAACAAGTATCTACTTGATCTGCTGCAGAAAACACATATGACTGGTGCAAAGCCTTGTTCCACACCACTCAGCTCTACCAAATTAGATCATAGTGGGGACTTACTTGCTGATCCCACTGAATACAGATCACTTGTTGGTGCTCTTCAATACTTAACTTGGACACGACCTGATATTTCTTTCGCAGTCAATCAAATCTGTCAGTTTATGCATACACCCACTGTTCTTCACATGCAAGCAGCCAAACGTATATTGAGATTTCTCAAAGGCACTATCACTCATGGTCTTTTGTTTAAGAAAGGGGATTTGCATCTGTCAGCCTATTCTGATGCCGATTGGGCTGGTTGTTCTTATGACAGACGATCCACCAGTGGTTCATGTGTTTTTCTGGGCACCAACTTAATTAGCTGGAGTGCCAAGAAACAATCAACCGTAGCAAGATCATCCACGGAAGCTGAGTACCGTTCCTTGGCTCACACTGCTGCAAAAGTTACTTGGATTTGCAAGGTGCTCAAGGACTTTGGCTTTCCTCTCTCTCACAAACCCACTCTCTGGTGTGATAATATCTCTGCTTTATCTCTTGCTTCCAATCCTGTATTTCATGCTCGCACTAAGCATATAGAGATTGACTATCATTATATTCGTGAGTTAGTCCTTGCACATCTGGTTGAAGTCAAGTATGTGTGCAGTCAAGATCAAATTGCAGATATTCACACCAAAGCCTTATCTAAAAACCGGTTTCAGTTTTTGCAGTCCAAGCTTTCTCTTGGAATTCTAAATTCTTCCAAGTTTAGCTTGAGGGGGTGTAAAGATGAAGATGCTATATCATAACTAAAGTTGATTAGTTATTAGTTTTGTATAAGGTGTCATTTATGTAATGAGTTTATCTTGTGTGATAGCTTAGACTAGCTAAAGGTAAATAGTCAAAAGACTATATATATGTAATTGTATTATTCCTTTGACATAATGAGAAAATACAGAAAGCTTAATACTTAAGAAACCTCTCTCTCTCTCTTTCTTTTCTCTCTTCTTTCTTCTCTCTCTTTCGTTTGCAAGAACACAGATCTTCTACACAAGGCACCGCCTGTTTTCCTGCACTCAAGTTTTATCAATACATAACATTCTAGCAGCAAATTATGGCATGTTTACGTAAGTGGAATAGAACGGTAGGAATGGCAATTGCACTCATTCCAAGTGATTCAAAGTATTTACCAATACTTGGGGAAATACGTACGTGGAATAGGAATGGAAGTAACGGAATTACACTGATTCAAGTGTTATATCAACATTTATGAAATGAAAACATATGTGAAACCCACCTAAAGCGATGAATCAGACTCCTGATTTTCCCAAAATTAGACTACCCAATAATAAGTAGAAAACCAATCACTCATTTTGCATGTAAGACTGAATTGAAATAGATTTAAAATTACCAAATTTGTAGAATCATATAAAAACTTATCTATTATAATCCTCTATAAAATTAGCAAAAATTATAGAAGGAATGAAGGAAATTAATCTAAAAAAAAGGTATTTGATGTCATATTTTTTTTTTACTATTATAAAGGGAAATTACCAAAATTTATAGAAGGAATGAAGGAAAATAATATAAAGGCTTATATATATACTATTTACATTTTTTGTTTTTTATTTTGTTTTTTATTTAATTTTTATATTATAAATGTTTAGAGAGAGAGTTTGAAACTTATGGCGCATTTACGTAATCGTAATAAAAATATGAGGAATTGAATTGAAGAGTAATTGGAATGAGAATGAGTCAGAATCAGATTTTTGCTGAAGTTGTTTACTTAAATGTTCTGGAATCAGCCCTCCCCTTAGTATAAAAATATCGATGTACTTAGAAATGTTCATGAATCGGAATAGAAATGATACTAATTCCATAAAGCTGTTTGCTAATTCAGCAGAATCGGAATATAAACCAGTATGATTACTAAAATACCTTTGTCCCAAATCAAATATTTTATATACTTTTTTTAATAAAATTTGATATAATATATAATAGTAATAAAAAAATAAATTGCTTTTTTATTTTATAAACACATTAAATTGTTTTTGTTTAATTTTTTTTTATAAATTTAAGTATGTATTTTAATATTTAAATTTTCTTGCTCAAAATTGTAGTTTCTTCTTTTCGAAATTGTGCATAATGTGAATGGGGGCATAATAGAAAGAAAAAATGCATTCTTGATTCCTTCACCATCCAGAAATCCAAATACTATGGAGGAGTCCAATTCCTCAAATTTCAAGAATTGAATTCCATTTTTATGTGTGGGTCTCACACGTTGATTCATAATCACAAGAATTATCCATAATTAGAATCGAATTCCTTATTTTCATGCTTAATGAGAGTTTCAAACCGGAAAGCACGCGTTGTAACCCAACATCGTATCCATGTAAACATAATTTGATATAAATTGCAAAGCATTTTGGTTATCAACAATAAGCATCTCATTCATGATGTCATTCATACTACAGAAAAAAAGTTAGCAAATAACAACCCCCAAAGTTGTTGGAAAAATAACAAACAAATCAGAAAATATAACCCTACAAATTCTCTGTCAAACACGCTGTTTCTGTTCCACTCCCAAACTACCCTCACTCCCTAAACAAATTTACACAAACTACCCCCCTCCAGAAACGTCTCGGAACACCATCTCTAAGACTATCTCACTTCTTCGCCTTCCTCGCCGGAGCCTTCCTCTTCACCGGAGACTTCACACTCTTCGGCTTCCTCACAGCTCTCGCCGGAGCCACCGGCTTCTTCGCCTTAGCCTTAGACTTCACTTCCACCTTCTTCCCCGGCGACGTCCTCGTCGATGTTCTTGCCGCCTTGGCAGCAGGCTTGGCCGCCACCGCCTTCTTCACCTTTGGCTTCGCAGCTGCCGCCTTAGGTTTAGCAGCCACCCCTTTGGACTTGGGTTTAGCAGCAACCGCTTTCGACTTGGGCTTCGACGCAACCTTCGCCTTGGGCTTCGCAGCCGTTTTGGTCTTCGCCTTGGCGACCACCGCCGCCGACTTCTTAGGCTTCGGCGCACCGGCCGTCTTCTCTTTCGCCGGAGCGGCGCCGCGGACCGGAGGCAGTTTGAACGAGTTTTTCACCTTGACGAGCTTTCCGGCAGCCACGAGCTTCTTCAAATGGTAGAGCAGAAGCTTCCTGAAGGTCGGCGGCAGATTCTTGTGCTTCTCCTCCACAAACTTGGTGATCGCGTACTGGCTCGATCCCGTCCTCTCCTTCAGCGCCACAATCGCCACCGTGATCATCTGAAAACCACAAAAACGACATCGCAATCAGCCTCCGAAAACACAAAACAGACGGCAACATCGTAAACTAAACCAGAATACCGATTTTCCGACCACGTACCTCGACGAATGGCGGGTGTGCAGGCGGAGACCTCGCCTTCTTGGCCTTGGCAGCGGAGACGCCAGTTCCAGTCATGGTCGTTGACTCGGCGGTTTGACTCAGTTAACTCGGAAACGGAATCGGAACGGATTTTTCGGATTTTGGATGGAGAGAATCAGAAAACGGGAAATGTGAAAAGCCAGTTGGGGGAGAAGGTGGTTTATATGGGGAGGAGGTGAATGGGAAGTGCTGAGCGCTGATTGGTCGGGGCAGTGCGATCCGGATCGAGGAATGTGCAAGTGTTTAAATTTGGGTCGTCGGATCGAGGGGTTATCTGCGGCTGGGATGAGAGTTTGGGGCGTGACTCGGATAGGATTGACCGCTTAAGCTTTTGTTTGAAGGCTGCTTTTTGTTTGGGTTGTCAAATATTTGATGGGGGATTTTAGGTTGTGTTTCTGAGTTGATTTGTAATGGGTGTAATTTTTTGGGTGGTTGATGGATTTTAGTGAGATTTTGATGGTTGTGAAGGTTAGAACGTGAAATTTCTAATGGGTGTTTGGTTGGTGGATTTGGATTTTTGGATTGGGAGAAATTTGGATTTGAAGATGGATTGGTCAAAACTAGGGTTTCTTTGGAGTTTGTTTGAGTTTGATTAGATTTTACGAGAATGTTTTAATTACATTTTCTTTTTTTTGGTCTTGGATTGTTGTAGGCTTGTAGAGGAGTGAATTGGTTCAAGAATCGTGAAATTCCGACAACAAATGAGTCACAAAATGTCGATCAGAAGGACGATGAAGTTGAACATATTTTGAATAGTTTGATAGTTTGTGATACCTAATTTTCATATGAAGACAAGCATGTGTATAATTTGTTATGATTTAATTCATCCAACACAAGTCGACTCATGTTTGAGGTGTTCTTTGAGGAACCACACAAAACAATGTAGCCATTCCAGATTCGATAATACATATCTCTTTCTCAATAATTTTCCTCTTTCTTCACTAACATTACATCATTTCACCATACAAACATTATTATCAAAACCATTCATTCTCTAATTACTATCATCTAAAAATCATTTCTGTACAAATTCATTTGATTTGAAAATTGTTTAGTCATCCATTTGAATAAAAGAAATTGACGATTCATCACATATTACAATATGGATGACTAAATGGCATCAGAATGAAATAGAGCTTTTTTTTAGATGATATGTGGATGATGATAAAGAAAATGAACGGTTTCGATTTTTCTTATTGTACGGTGAAATGATGACATATACGTTAGTGGGATATGAGAGAAGTATTGTCCTTCCATAGTTACCTTTCACTAATCACATATGACATTTTCTTCTAAATCAACTGCTCATTGTATAAAAATCTTAATTGTTACAAAAATTGTCTGAGTTGTTGGGTGCATATGAGACAGTAAAGGATTGCAAATTTGATTGATTTAGTACAAAGATGATCTCTAAATGGTGTTTTTAGAAATTAACTATTTCAATAACAACATGTATGATGAAAATTTGCTAATCACAACTGCATTAGCGAAAAGGTGCTTGTTCAATTTTGATTGTTCACTAGTTTTTTCGTTTTCAGGAAATCTAGTAACCTACACACATGTCTTGGTGAATTTTCGGTCTGCGTTCTGCCGAGAGGTTAGGTTTGATAAATTCACCAAGACATGTGTGTTGGCGCAACGCAAACCGAAAATTCACTTGTTAATTTTGGATAGGTGAGGAGTTTTCACGACTTAATAAGATATCCTGAATACTTAAATATATTAGGCCCTTTAAAGGAAGGTATTCTCATTTTTTTCTTTCTTTAAAAAATAGGGGTTAGTTGTGGGACTCACTTCACATCGAATTTCAATGATCCGAACCGTCTATTTTGTTAATCTTGATTCATAGATCATCTTTAAAAAAAAATTCAATTCAATCCGAAACATTTGCCTATTTAATTATCACAATGAATTTTCATCGTTTCTTAGAGAATAAAGTATTCGTCAATTTTTTTTAATTCAATTAGATGTCTCAAATATTTTCAAATTGACTAATATTTTGCAAGGATGATTTATAAGGTGTAGCTTAAAAATAAACAGTTCAAATCATTGAAGTTCGATGTGTTGGAAGCGTCACAACTAATCTCCATTTAAAAAAAATGGAAATCCTTTCTCTTAAAGGCATCCAGTGAAAGATTCATAAATGTTTCTTCACATAGCTGTTGGAAATTATATATTATAATATATAATCTTAATAATTGAATGAAAAATAGTGTTGACCATATTTCTTAGAAATGTTATGTTATTTAGGTGCATTTCTTTGTCAAATGATGTATACTTATAGATGAAAAGTTACATCTCTTTAACAATAAGTACTTGGGTGCTATATAAACTCATGAAACCATCATCATTAATATAGAAAATTAGAGTTAATTTTTACTCTTGAGAAATAGGGTTTCCCTACTTTGTTTTTATCATGCTTCGTGTGTTAAATTCCGAGTCGTGTCTTGAGAGTATGAAATATATAAAGTTCGCCAGAGTTCGAAGATTGAAGTGCTTTGACTTCCGATTATAGATTGTTGAATCCTAGGAGATGGACGCCTATCGAATTACAAGCACAAAAGTAGGGGCGAAATTCTATCTTTAGGACATTGCATTTATGTAAGCCTCAATCTCCAAGTTTGTCAGTTTTTCTAATTTTATCTCTAGTTGTTTATATTAATCTTGTATACTATTGATGTTGTTATTTTATTTATGATTATTATCATTGTGTTTTTTTCATTTTTTTTAATATTGGTCCAACAATAGCAAGATGAAGCTCGCACATCTACTTGTCTTTGGCTTCCCACCCTGGCTCGGGTTTTTTTTTTTTTTTTAAGCTTTCAGGTGTCGTGCCCCATGTCACTCAAGCAGAACATCAAAATGAACATTGAGAAATTTCTTATATAGCAATGATAGCAGTTGGGCAATTGCATACACTAGATTTAATTGATCCACCAATGTCGTTTTCTTATAATATTATAGGAAAAATTATTTACCAATTTTAAGATAAGAAGTGTGAACACTCCTTATGACACGCAGTGGCAGAGTTTACAACAATGGGATCATGATTTCGATAAAAGAAAAATTATTACCCTATTTCGTTAAGTATTTGTCGGCACTTATTAAAATCTATTAACAACGCTAAAAGCTTGTTATGACATCTATTGATAACTGTTGTGTTCTTCTAGCATCTACTTCTATCAAGATGTGCCCATGCTAGTAGACTGTCAAGACCTACCTGCCAAAACTTTTTGAGCGAAACATTACGTCGAGAATATGGTGTGCACCATTGGGTTGCATAGAAGAAAAAGGAGAAGGAAAGACACAAGAAAGAAAGAAGAAAAAAGAAGGAAAGACACAGGAAAGAAAGAAGAATAATGGAGAAGGAAGAAGCAACAATAGGTTGTACTTCAACATTGTTCACTCTCTTTAGTTGGAGTTAAAGATAATTACCAACAAATGTACACGAGATTAAGAAGCTGTTGGAGTCATGAGCAGTCATTGACCCCAAGCTGACTCCGCTACTAATGACACGTTTACTTACTTGGTAGAGTTAGTACGGAATCAACTAGCTAGTCCCTCTGGTAGAAATAATTCCTTACTTTACAGGCATTAGAATGTAGATTTAAGAGCAAGTCTAGTGGAAAGGGCAAGGGTTAGGGGCTAGAGGCTTTATTTGGCCTCTCAAAATGCAATTATTCAAGAAATTGGTTGAGCTCGGCAATTTCCTTAACTACCAAGTCATGCTTTAGATTGGAAATAATCGTTGGTTAGACGCTCCGACAACAACTCAATACGAAGGAGCCAAGTAGGAAGACGAAACAACTATGTGTATAAGGTAAAAATGGAGAAACTTAACAATAAGAAAAAAGAAAAAAGAAAAAGAGGTTGCTTAGGGTTGCTTTTATAAATAACACTTATGCTGATCGACACTTTTGCTAGAAGTGCTTCTATACTCGAAATTTCAATTTTTTCATCAAACCTCGTTAAAAACACTTTTTACGGTTAGAAATTAGGAAAACTAATGAAAAAGTTGAAAACTTTGAGTTTTAACGATAAGGACAAAATAAAGGGTAGAGTGAATAGTATCAGGATTGACGTTTTAATGTAAAAATATAATTTTTCATTAAAATAAACAGAATCATGAGCTTTTCATTAAAGTTTCGGTAGAAAATCTTCTTTTAAGCTTTTTCAAAAAGCAACCAATTATAACTAAACAATCCCAATAGGCCCAAACTTGATAGGCAAGCCCGGGAAAGGACCAGAACGGACTCTATAGTCTAGTACCCGTGGAGATACGGATACTCGGGGCGGACCCGACTCCTCCAAAGCTCCGGCAAATAACCCGTTAAATCGAGGACATATATAAACCCAACCATAAAAACCCTAATTTCCCCACTTCCACTGCAACTCCACCAGTCGCCTATTCTCTCTCTGTCCCTCTCTCCCTCTGCGAATTAGGGTTTCTTTTCTTCTTCAGCAAACATGGTGAGCTCAAACCCTCTTAACATTTCTCAATCAAGCATTTCTATTTTCCAATTTTCTAACTTTTGTGTACGATTTTTCGCGGGAATCAATCTGACTGCTTGCGGCGGTGGTTCGGTTGCCAGGCGGATGTGGAGGCTGATGTTGCTGCGGCAGGAGTCCCGAAGAAGAGGACGTTTAAGAAGTTCAGCTTCAGAGGCGTAGATTTGGATGCGCTTCTCGATATGTCGACTGATGAGCTTGTCAAGCTCTTCCCTGCCAGGGCTCGCAGAAGGTACATACAGATTGTGAATCTACGAATAAATATGTATAAGTACCTGTACTTGTATGTATGTATGTATATATATGTATGTATATATCTATTTATACTTGTTAGTTTGTACAATGGGTTTTGGTTAAGCTGAATGCTGTACTGTATCGGTGGGGTGATGAAATGGGTTCAGGTTCCAGAGAGGTTTGAAGAGAAAGCCAATGGCTTTGATCAAGAAGCTTCGCAAAGCTGTAAGAATTCTTATGTTTTCGGCACATGTTTCAGTTTTTTTTTTTTTTTTGGCTTTTGTCATTAATTTCTTGTTTGGATTATTCGATTAATGTGGTGTTTCGAATCAAGAATTATGCTTTAAATTTGTGATCAGTTAGTTGTCTCAGCTTATGAATCCGGAATAGTTTCTTGCGATGATTGGGAAGTTCATATAGAACTAAGCTAGAAATGAACGAAATCGAAATTCATTTTATCTTGGTTTATATATAGTCTCTTTTCTACTATGAGTGGTGAAGTAGATTAACTTAATTTGTATCAATGGATGCAGGATTCATTATATGTAGACGCCCCAACGAAAATCTCTTATTGTTATTTGATTTGCTATCGGTGCCTTCTTGAGAGTCTTTAAGTAATTCATGTTCTAGGACATATTGCAACAAGTTTAACATCTGCAATCATTTACTTTTTTCGTTATGAATGTTTGTTCTAACTCTATTGCCTTGCCATGTTTATTTATTTAAGAGCAAACTTATTGCGAGTGTATCTGTGTATTTATTATTGGTTTTCCATGCGTTTTGGAATAGAAAAGGGAGGCTCCACCTGGTGAGAAACCGGAGCCAGTTAGAACTCACCTCAGGAACATGATCATCGTACCTGAAATGATTGGTAGCATCATTGGTGTGTACAACGGCAAGACCTTCAACCAGGTTGAGATCAAGCCTGAGATGATCAGTCATTATCTTGCTGAGTTCTCCATAAGTTACAAGCCTGTCAAGCACGGAAGGCCCGGTATTGGTGCTACTCACTCTTCCAGGTTCATTCCCCTCAAGTGAAGTTTCTACTTCCTCCTTGATCACATGTTCCCTGATATCAGATGTTGAGAGCCTTTTAATTAAGTTATGGATTTGGATTTTCCTTTATCGATATCTTTTGAATGTTTTATCATTCTGTAAACAATGACAATGTCGACCGGCTTGTAGGATTTATCGGATAAAGATTTTCTTTCAATCAAGTTTATTAGTATCTGAATGTGTTTCATGTTGTGATCCTTAAATTGCTGTTGGATCCCTGACTGTACATTCAACGCTTCACCCATCCGGTACATGTCATAGTAGAATTTTGGTTTTGATAACGAGGGTTCGGAAGAATTGAACATTAAAAAAAACGCTTTCCATCAACTCAATTTACATTTCACATGAAATACTAGTTAGCCTATGTTTGTTCCGTTTGAAGCTCCATGTTATACAAGAAGTACCAGGATGCACTTCACAGCCGGAACTTTCCTGCAACGGGGTGTCTCTGGCGGTATTCCAAGCCAATGCCTCAGCGGGCGGACTGGGAATGCTTATGCTCGCCTTCGTAGGTGACTATGAGCATGGCAGGGTCTTCAAGGCATCTCTCTACATGTTTCCTCGCAGGACACCCTCTTATGCTGCTACATTTGTAGTATCCCCTACATCAATTCCCTTCATAAGCCAGACTGAAACAACCATAACAACTACAGAAGCATGTTTGAGCAGAGAAAATAGAATCGTTACCTTGGGTACGGGGAGCCCTTGATCGGCTTCTGCCCGTATTTCCGCCACGAAAACTCATCGGGAGGAATGTCTGAAGTCTTGTCACTAATGGCAGGGACCTTAAAAGTTCTTTTCACCCTCAGTTTCCTGTTAACAAAAACAACATTAGTTCAAGCGCTTTGGCTAGAGCGGATCTGCTCCCGCTATGCAACCGATTGAAGCCTCAACCCACAATTTAGATTAGTTTAAGGTAGAATATCGTTTGTTTCAAAATAGGTAAAAGAACACCCATCTTGAAAGCGATAATTTCAGAATAAAACTCACCTCTTCTTGGGATATTGGCATTTACCACTGCTGCCGCAATTCACACTCCCATTTTCCACCACACCAGTGCACCTACTTTGCTGCTGCGAACTCTGACCGGAAATCCGAGGCACGCCATTGATCAACCGAAAAGAATCTCTGCCGGTGTTGACCTCACCGCCGTCGCCTATGCTCAAACATGACATGAACGATCTGGCCGATGTCATGGAGGGGTTGAAGCTAGAGCTAGACCTATCAAATGCAAGGTTTATGCCACTGTCTATCCCAGAAAACACCATTTCACTCTGATATTTCACCTGCTGGGGGTGAAACTGCAATTTTTCTCTCTCTTCCTGGTGCTGCTTCAAAGTTTTTGTTTTGGGAATTTGGAGGGGAAGCTTGAGATTGGCATCCGGAACTGGGTTTCCTGGAAATTTTTTTTCTGCGTGGGGGGTTTTAGGAAAAGTAGGAGGGAGTAACTGGAGGGGTTTTGGTGAAATATCTGAATAATTAGGGCCGTCTGAGAAGATATTTTGAGGGAAAGGTGGTGGGTTTAGGTTTTTCTTCAACTTTCTCACTCTTCCTCTTCCATGGCTGAGGAGAGAGAGAACTCTCTTGAACTTGAACACTGCCACCTCAGTCTCCACCTGCAGGTTTTTCCATGGTTTTGGTTTGCACAAGAGATTGAGAACTCTGTGGCAGCTCCCAACTGCTGCTCTGTTAGCTGCCTCAACCTCCTCCATTCTCTCACTCTCTTTCTCTCTCTCTAAACTCTAAAAAACCTTGTCAAGATCAGATAGTGAAGTACCCAAGAGAAAGAAATAGTTGCGGATTAATTAAAAACTGAAAACGAAATGGTTATTAAACGACAGACAAAGTCCTACTAATGAACCTGCTGCATATATCAACTTGCTCCAAGTCCAACTCTTTTCCGTATTAAAAAAGTAAGTAAGATGGAAAACGGGAAAAAAGTGGTATGAAGAGATTGATTTGGGATGTGATGTGAAGAAAAACCAAGGCTCTCTATAGGAGAAGTGTGAAAGATGAACATAGAAAAAATAAATGATCAAAACGAGTGAAAGAGAAGACTTTTTGCTTTGTCTTTATAAATAAACGAAACATAAATTCAAACACGAGAAGAAAATAAGTTTTTCTCTTTTGAATATATGCCTTCGTAGCTGTTCTCACTTGATTTTTTTATTTTTAAAAATCGAACGATACGTTAAAGTAGAGTTGGTGATCTTAAAGAATGCATTTGTGCGAGTAATCTGGCTAAAACGATCATTTTCGTTTTCAAAATTCAACTGTGAAATGATTATTATTTTTTGTATGTCATTAACCATTTTTTTTATTATTTTAACCAATTTTTCAAATAATAAACTATTATAACAAAAAAATTAATCTTTTACTTCTATATAATTAAAGAAAATTTTCAAGACAGGGAGAGAGAGAGTGAGTGCTCTGTTCTTAGCAAAAGGGTAGAGGAGGAGGAATGAGGAGAAAGAGGATCTTCTTTGCGAAGATTTTGAGATTTTTAAATTTTGTTCGTTCATCGTATAACAATCATAAATTATTTTAAATATTTTTATTTAAAATTAAATATGAACTGTATCTGTAAAAAACTGATCGCATGATGTACGATCAAAGAACTCGATTTGAAGATCTTCGGAATCCTCACAAAGAGAATCCGAAAAGGATCCTCCATCGACGAGGAGGAGGAGAAAGTAAACAAAAGTGGGATCCACTACGCGGCCAAGATTTTCACTGTTTTAAATTTACTGTAGGTCAGAAAAATTTACCGAAAGTACACCACTGAGTACTGCTGCTACCCAGATGTCCTGTCTGATTGTCTTGCTTGCTGCACTATGTACCGTAGCCACTGCATAGTGTAAGGCATGCAGCGATGTCCACAGACGTGGGCATATGATGCGTTTGGCGATAATGGGGTGCGTAGGTGCCCCATTGTTGAGCTGCTGTAAATCTGTGACACGAGAGATTCTATTTTGCAACTATTTTATCACGATTATGAGGTAAAATTTTTATTGGACATGTGGTTTATGTTTTAAACACACGAATTTATCAGGTTGTAAGAGAGAATCTTTCTACACGAGTAGAGGACTTTCTTTATTTGGTTGTGATCCCCATAAGATATGAAAACTTTGACAAGTTTGTTGCACGAAACCAACTCTCACATTATATGAGATTAGTGCGAACTTAGTTAAACTAGAGAGCTCTCACAAATGACATGATTATGATGCCTTTACACAAGATTTTCTCTACTCATCTGCATGTATGATAGTGACACCACCCGCCATACCTATAAATTTCTCCTTGTATTCTTTAGCCATTTTCGCAACACTTATTTTTTATTTTTTATTTTTTTATCTAGTTTTCAAGGAAATTCGTTGAATAAAAATTTATAAGGACGTCATATATTAAAGAAATTATCGACCAAATACTAACGACATATCAATACAATTATCATAAGTGATTATTTCAGCGATTGAAATTTGTCATATCAAACAATATTACACATATCTAATTGATAAACTTGGAGATGACCATTTAGTGCTTAAGGTAGTGGCAAATGATTGAAATCCAGTTAAGGTTAGGTAATGATCTTGTGTTCAATTTGTGATAATTGTTCAAGTAAGTTCTAGCACATTTAAGAAACTCACAACCACAAAACATTGATTAATTGCCTTAGTTAACAGGTATTGTTAATCAATTGGACAAGTGAAATGCTTTATTTATTGAGTTAGGCAAATGATCACTTCCCTAGTAAATTATTGGTGACCCAAAAGTCGCACACCTTTTAGAATTTTTAAGTGGATATTTAAGGAGATGGTTTTTGAAACGACATTAGTAGAGGAAGAATTATGTCATCTTGCACTAATCTCTGATAAGATGGATTAATAAATTATAATAATTACCATAGGAAGTCTTTCATGATGAAAAGCAAGTTTATCATCTTGTCTTAGTGGAGTATAGTTGAAAGTCGCATGCATAGATTATCAAATAAAATAGGGAATTTTGCAAGGGAAACGTTATTGGTACTCTAAAAATCTCATTATACACTTCTCACAAGTATATTTTTCTTTCCTAATATAGAAAGTTTGGAGTGTAGAATGAGATTTTTGGAGTACTAATAACAATTCCCTTTTGCAAAGAGAGTTTTAACGAAAAGTCCATGGTATCATTTACTTTAATGAAAAACCATATTTTTACACTAAAAAGTCAATTTTGGTACTATTCACTTTACCCTTTATTTTGTCCTTATCATTAAAACTTAAAGTTTTCAAACCCTTTTCATTAGTTTTCCTTTCTGCAAAAGTACTGTCTGGACTTGCAAGCATGTACATCAATATCGTCTAAACTTTTAATTTTTATCACCTGGACTCTCTTAACTTTTGAAATTTACTAACTACGTTAATTTCCATTCATTCTACTGTTAAAACATGTACGCGCCCTCTCGTGAAGGGCTATTTTTGTCAATTCACTTTCTAGGGGATGCTGAAGTCAATTTGTACAAAGGCAAAAGACTTTTTATTTTTTATTTTTATTTTTTATTTTTAGCGACCGTTGAAGTCTGATCATGAAGAGGAAGGAAGAAGTTGATTTGGGGTCTAATTTTGGCAAGGGCTGTCACATCCCGGCCCGGGACAGATCACTTCCTGGGCCCGTTCCACCACCGTAGCACGATATTGTCCGCTTTGGGCTTACCATTCCCTCACGGTTTTGTTTTTGGGAACTCACGAGCAACTTCCCAGTGGGTTACCCATCATGGGATTGCTCTAGCCCCCTTCTCGCTTAACTTCGGAGTTCCTACGGAACCCGAAGCCAGTGAGCTCCCAAAAGGCCTCGTGCTAGGTAGGGATTGGAATATACATTTAAGGATCACTCCCCTGGGCGATGTGGGATGTCACAATCCACCCCCCTTAGGGGTCCGACGTCCTCGTCGGCACATTTCCGGCCAGGGATTGGCTCTGACAATTGTCATATCCCGGCCGGGGGGGATCACTTCCCGGGCCCGCTCCACCACCGTAGCACGATATTGTCCGCTTTGGGCTTACCATTCCCGCACGCTTTTGTTTTTGGGAACTCACGAGCAACTTCCCAGTGGGTCACCCATCATGGGATTGCTCTAGCCCCCTTTTCGCTTAACTTCGGAGTTCCTACGGAACCCGAAGCCAGTGAGCTCCCAAAAGACCTCGTGCTAGGTAGGGATTGAAATATACATTTAAGGATCACTCCCCTGGACGACGTGGGATGTCACAAGGGCTGCGTGAAGAATTGAAGTCAAAATTACACAAAAATCTAGTCCTTCATTTACAGCGAGTTTTCAAGATTTTTTTTTTTTTTGTAACTCAACAAGTGGGTGTATAGTTCACCTTAATTTATTCAAATATTAATTTTTCAAATTCTTATAGAGAACTGGGGCTGTACAAACCCCCAAATTTTGGCGCAATATTGATTTAGGCAGTATTACCAACTTGAACATAGCCAACCTCATGAAGTGAATTGGCGAAAATATCCCTACATGTAGCATGTTTTAACGACAAAATAGATGGTTTTACGTGGTAGACTCCAACTGTTAAGAAAGTCTAGGTGATAAAAAATAAAAATTAAAAGTTCAGGTGGTATTATCACGCATACTTGCAAGGTCAGATGATATTTGTGCAAAAAAAACTCCACAAAATCAATTTGACAATCAATCAAACAACTTTTTTTTTTTTTTTTTTACGGCGATATATTTATAATAAAATAATATAAGAATGAATAGTATCGAACTTGTCGTGAACGAAACCTCTCTTCTTGTTTGAAAATAAAAAATAAAAGAAGGTGAATTAGAATAGCCAACAGGATCCTCTTCGGATCCTTTTGGTGAGAATCTTGAGGATCCGTGAATCGTGTTTGCTCATTGTACATCGTGCGGTCAGTTTTTGTCAAGTATTGTTTATGTTTATTTTTAAATAAAAATATTTAAAATAATTTTTAATCGTATGATATACGATAAACGAACATAATTTACAGATCTCTAAGATCTTCGCAAAGAGGATCCGACGATGATCTAAGACTCTTAGAATAGCGGGTCTGCAAACATGATATAGGCCCATAAGCGAATACCATCGTCCGTCGGGCCACAGAAAAACCCGGTTTCCTGCTCGTTCTTTTCCCCCTCTGCTCCAGAACTTTTAACGACCAAAACGTCGACGTGCAACGGATCCCTGCGATCGTCGGGGAACCGAATCAAACGAATCAAAGCGACGACGACCCTTTATCGCATGGATCACAACGATTGGTGGTGCGGAAGCGATTAAATCTTTCGTTAATTGAACGGAAACATCCTGGTAAAACCCTAATTCTTTTAGCAATGCAATATTTTGTGAAATTTGGATTTCTAAATTATTTGATAATTTAATTCTATTTAGTTAAATAAATGGCTAATTAAAAATTTAGTTTTGATTGATTGCAAATGCAATTGTATGTATTTCTTGGAAACCAGGCTGGATAGGGATTATATATGCGAAGCAAATAAATGGCTAGTTAGATGATAATTTCATGCAATTTATCTGTGTTTTTTACTCCTAATTATAGTAGGATAAAGAGGGTCACTAAAGGTGCGGGAATAAATTGGTATCGAACTCTCCATCCACAAGATTCGGACCAAGACCTACTGACTTACCGTGAATAGAATACTACTAGACCATCATCATAGTAAATTAGAACTGAAGGTTTGGATCACTGTTTCAAGTTCATCGATAAGTACCACACGAAAATATTCACATATTAATGGAGTTTCAAAGTGTTTTATCGAATAGTTTGAAGATTGGTATCTCATTTACTTTGTTATTCGATTTGCATGTATTTTGCGTCTATATAGTTTCTTTCGTTCACTAGCCTGAGGCGAAGTATTTCACCTCAATGTATCATCATGAATGCTGTAAAAATGTATATGATAAAATGACACAAGCACTGGTAATGCACCTAGGGAAACATGAATTTCATACTGTCATGGCGACCCGTATTTGGTGTCTGTTTTAAGTTCTGCTGATGATTAAGCCTTTACATTTTAGGAGCATGTTCTTTCTGTTTTTGGTGGGTTCTTATGAGGAAAATGAACTTCATCACGTCTCCATGTTTTATTTAGGACTTAAACATCAATTTCCGTGTGAGTTTGCATCTCATTGTTCGCAAGTGCATATTGAGATTTCGTCATTCAGTTTGGTTGTATTTGGCAAGGTATGCAAATCGGTCAAATATTCGGTGCCATAACTTATTTATAGCTTGTGGGGTTCTATTCACTTGTGTTCTGGTCCCCTCCAATGCTCATGTATCCCAGACTCCTGGTGCTCTGCGTGAATCAGAGTTAAGTGCGTTACAATTTAGCCTGGTCTTTTCTGTTTCCTGCTGTTCAGGAATTTTGTCCCTTGTATTGTGCAATAATTTCTTTTCTCAAAAAAATTGTGAGTCAAGTTTTGAATTTATGTTCATTGTTAGTTTTATCTTCGCCCCACTTAGTGGGAAAAGGCTTTGTTGTTGTTGGTAGTTTTAACTTCGCTGTTGTCGGAGCAGTTATGCAGTATCTGTTTTGGTTCCTCGTATAGTCTACTTTCAGTGGAGTAAGTAGTTGGAAACTGGCTACATGCTTTTCTAGGTTTGGAACCCTAGTCCTTTCAGAATGCTAAGCTGAAAATAAATTTCAACTGGTTTTGACCAGTGATATTTGGTAATGCATGTCATAGCTCTCATCTTGTTTTCGTTTTATGCAGTGATTTTCGTAATGTGCTGGAAATGTTTTACGTCGCGTCTTTCCGATTGCAAGTGTTGTTTGGAATATCTTCTTGTTATAAAAGTCGATTTGTGAGCTTAAGTTTTATTTGGAGAGACGCTTAATGGAACTTTGGTTGGGTGAATGTGCAGGCTTCAATGTGTCGCAATGGCTGATCGATATCTGGTTTGTGAGTCTCAATCGTCGAGGCATAATCATCCGAAGCGATCAAGACCTGCCAAGAAAATCGTTACCAAATTTCATTTAAAATGGTTGTAATAAAACTTTGAACGTACGATAACTAATTAGGAAGCCAAATCACCAGTAAGGCACATGAAGCCTTCGAAGAGGTTCCTAAAATTAGGTTTTTTGGACGAAAACCATAACATGGATGGTTTCGTTCAAAAAACAAAATATTACCCGAACGGGGAGGGAAGGAAAGAATTTAATTTTGTAAGGACCTTTAGCGGCGACCTTTAAATCGCCATATAATATAGATTTAGCGGCGACAAGTGACGAATTTATTGTCGCAAAAGGTCATTTAACATGTTTTAGACCTAAAATTCGTCACTAAAAGTAGTAAAGTCGCCACTAAAACTAAAAAACCGTTGCAATAGGTTCAAAATCGTCATTTTAGCCTCAGACTCGCCACCTTTCTACTGATTCATGTCTTTTAGCTGCAGTTTTCTGCTCAATATTTATCTTCCTTCAATTAAATACTAGAGGCAATTGAAGTAAACCATGAAAAAAGTATTTACGTCTCATTTTCTTGATGTTATATCCGCAATCCAATTAGAAAGTAAAGAAATAGCTTGTAAAGTATGTTTGTTTGCTAATGCTCGTGTGAATTATGACATTTTTTTCCAGTTTATTTTATGCAAAATGCAAGATGTCAGCAGCCGAATAATATCAAGTTAATTCTTAAGTTTAATTTTAGTTTTGGATGTCAGCAGCCTAAGTTCAAAATCGCCTTCTATCATAGCGCGGCGTATATCTACAAAGTCAAGCAAAGCAATCATAAACAGTTCACACAACTAAAACACACACACACACACACACACACAGTATATACACACCTGCAGACATGGACGGAGATGGCTTAGCCTTGGTGGGGGTGGATGCCCCCACTTAATTATTTTTTGCTTAAAAAATATTCTTTTAGTTGCTTGTGATATTAGTATTAACTTTTTTATGCACTAGTGCCATCGTTGGAAGAACATATTCAGTCGTAAAATTTCTGTTGAGAAATTGGATGAAAGATCAATGGATAAATGATAACATGATTATTTTTTAATAGAGAGAGATTTGATGGTATTAGTGATGAAGTTGTCATTCAACGTTTGAAAACATGAAACGCTTCGAGGGATATTGTAATAAGTTGTATAAAAAAAACCTTATGGATTAATGTATAAGTGTTTTGTTGAGTACATTCTTGAACTTTTTAATTTGTAACATTGTTATTTGAGAGTACCCCATCCATGCAGATCTCTAACTTCGTCCTTACCTGCATAAGTAAGTTTGAATGTTTATTATGGGGGTCATCTTTCGTTGATTTTCGCTTTGAACTCTCGTTGATTCTCGAAGTTTGATGGTGGAGGCAGTGTAGCCAAAGCTACAGTTTTATAAGAAGATCCTGTTACAATCTATAATGGCAATCCCAACAATTTCAAAGATGATTGTGTTGAATAATTTTAAAAGTCCTATATGTCGGCTAAACAAATCATCATTCCAAATTTAATTGGATCAACGTTGTTTGCTGTGCTGAGAGCCGAGGAGTTCTCTCCGGAGAAATCTTCACCCGAACAAACGCGCTTTGTGATAAAGTTTTCTGTCTATAGGTTTGCACATGTGATCAAGTTGATGGCACTATCAGTGTAATTGGTGCTGAACTATTAGTCATCTCTTTGAAATCTTTATAGCTAATAAATATGGAGCATAAATGGAAGTGACACATGCATGAACATTATATATGTAGTGTTCAACTAAAGCAAACATGCCATTAGTTTTCATTGTTGTTGGGATGACCGTTTCACAAACCTGCACTTTCTGCCTTCTCAGGTGTGGTTTTATAAAATAAATTAAAAAATAAAAATTTGCTAAATAATAAAAATTTTGTTGCTAAATTGATCGAAATCAAATATTGCTAACACATAAACCAAATATGAATGTCAAAACGGTATTTTACTAGGATCTAACTTGAGATCTCTTCCTTACAAGTAAAGAGAAATGTTACTAAATTGTAGTACTAATTAGCTCTAGCAATCCTTTTCAAGTTCAATAAGATTGAAAGTTTTAGAATGGGCCTCTCAGAGTGTTCAAAGTCCTTCAAGTGAAAGAGAATCTAGGAGAATATTAACATTCTTCTCGCTTCCCTTTTCATTTCAACATTTTCGCTTTTACTTATTAATTTGTCAACGATAAATTAGAGAGCTCAATGTAGTGCGTGGCTTTCAGATCAAACTGAACCCACCCGCCCAAGACACTCTTCCTTCCTCCTTTGATTTACAATGACATTCTACTATAGGGCAGGAGAAAATAATATTCCAAGGGGATGAGAAATTAGGCTAGGCCGCACAATATGAGGGGCAATCATTGACTAGGTATCAGACTCAACTCAGTCTTCACAACCAAGAGAGTCGAACTAGTGAATAAGAATCACTAATAAAACTCAACTCACTTGGGGATTGCGACCAACCTAGTTCCCGTATAGCTTTGTCACTGTTTCTAGCCTAGACCACCTAGATTCCTACATAGCTCCGGCTCGGCCATTTTCATTTTCATTTTCATTTTCATTTTGAGGACTTGAAATCGTTTTTCCCTCCCTTTATATCGCTCGTATTAAAATAAAAAGGAAACAAAAAAAATATACACAAAATGAAGATGAAAGTGATTTAGAATAGTGGGTCCAAAGTGTAAACACAAAATGGGCTCATAAGCAAATACAATCGCCGGTCGGGCCACAAGAAAATCCAGTTTCTCTCCTCCTCGTTCTTTCTCCTTTCCACTTCACAGCTTTTGAAGACCAAAACGACGACGTGCAATGTACCCCTGCGATCGTGGCCGAATCGATTCAGAGGAATCAAAACAACGACGACCTTACTAGTCCCATCATCGTCGGCTAGTCACATTGATCGCATCCCCAACGATTCGTGGCGTGGAAGCGAGTTGATCGTTCGTTAATTGCATGGATTAATCCTGGTAAAAACCCTAAGTTATTAGCAATATTTGTGAAATTTGGATGCAAATTAGTTGGTAGCTAATTCAATTTAGTTAAATAAATGGCTAATTAAATTCAACTTTGATTGATTGCAAATGCAATTGTATCTATTTCTTGTAAATCAGTTCATGCCGGATAGGGATTATTTATCAGAATTCAAATAATTGGCTAATTAGATGATAATTTAGTGGAATTTATCTGTGTTTTTGCACCTAAGTATAGTAGGATACATCAAGGTAGGGTTGCAAATTAGAACAGAATACTTCGAAGTGAAATGTTGGTCCCTGGTGATTGGGCGGCTCTAAATTCCGAGCAGGTCGAAAACAGGGAAACACCTAAGACCCCTATGCAATAATTGGAATTTGATTTTTGAGACCTCTCCTGTTGATGCACAAAATCGAGTAGATAGTGAATCTACGTAAAGAGTGATGTGAGGACCTACGTGGGGGCGCTTATGTCAAAGGTAGATGGACAAAAAAACCTGCAAGGAAGATAGAGTAAGTACCGAAGGGCACCGGTGTGGCGCTGGCCTAAGAGCCCTCTGATGCTTAAGTTAGCAAAGTATGTCTACGGTGCCAAGTGAGTGAGTGTAGTGGTAATATAGTGTTGAACAGTAAATGTGATTAACCCTTTGAATGGAGTAGAAGTTACCTTTTTATAGAGGCAAAGTTGTAGAAGATTTTTTGACTTTGGCCAATGTGGGATCGAATGTATTTAATGTGGTGTTGTCGCATCATGATTGGCCTCCAAGTTGGAGAGAAATCTCTCATTAATCATGGGAATAGCCACGTGTCGTGGCTCTCACTTGTTGTGAGGTCGATTCGTGCGCTTTGGCACCTTTACTGAAGCAGGGATCCTTTGGAGGGTTACCGAGGCTTCCTAGTTGACCGGTACTCGGTGGTTTTGAGGTCGATATAATATGGTACAAACATCTCCAATCCTGATTTCTTTTAAAGATTGAATCACCGTTTACAATTTCGTCTGTAAGTACATACCACCGAAAAATATTGAAATGTTAATGCAGTTTCAAAGTGTTTGATCCAACAAGTTATTCTTTATCGAATAGTTTGAAGATTGGTATCTCATTTACTTCGTAATTGGTTTTAGATGAACATTTGGTCTATTTGGTTTGTTTCGTCCACTAGTCTGAGAAGAAGTATATAGCATCACTGTATCGGTATGAATGGCATAAAAATCTATATCCTAAAATGACAAAAGCACTGGTAATGCACCTAGGGAAACATGAACATCGAATTCATAATGGCCCCGTGACTCGAATTTGGCATCTGTTTTAAGTTCTGCTGATGTTTAATCCCCTTACATTTCTGGAGTTTTTTTCTTTCTGTTTTGGGTTGTTTCTTATGAGGCAAATGGGCTTCATCATGTCATCCATGTTTTATTTAGGACTTAAACACCAAGTTTTGTCCGAGTTTGCATCTCATTGCTTCCAAGTGCTTATTGAGATTTCTCCAATCAGTTTCGATGTATTTGGTAAGATAAGGAAATCAGTCAAATATGGTGTGACATGTCTTATTTATATCTTTTGGGGCTCTGAAATCAGTCGAATATGGCGTGACATGTCTTATTTAAACCTTTTGGGGCTCTGTTCACTTGGTGTCTGGTTCCCTTTAATTCAATTTAGGTAAATAAATGGCTAATTAAATTCAGTTTTGATTGATTGCAAATGCAATTGCATGTATTTCTTTGAAGCCAGTTCATCCTGGATAGGGATTTATATATGCGAAGCAAATAAATGGCCAATTAGATGATAATTTCATGCAATGTATCTGTGTTTTTTGCTCCTAATTATAGTAGGATACAAAGGGGTCGTTAAATGTGCGGGAATAAATTGGTATCAAACTCTCCATTCACGAGATTTGAACCAAAACTTACGACTTACAAGTGAAAAAGAATACTACTTGACTAGGTGGGGAAGTGGGAAGTGAAATGTTGGTCCCCATGTAATATTTGGTAATGCTTGTCAATGCTATCATCTTGTTTTCTGTCTATGCAGTGATTTTAGTAAAGTCCTAGAATTTTTTTGGGTAATTCTATTAACACCCCACAATCTTATGAATACACCCCATAATATATTTTTTCAGTTAAATTTTCGTTTATACCCTGACGAATTAAGTTCTGAAGTCGAAAATAAACCCCATCCACCCCCTTATGCCGGCTGCCAACCAATAGTGTGGGCAAAAAATCCCAGCCACTCGCCATGCTCTTTCTCTCCATATATATATATATATATATCCAATCGCCAGTCACTTGCCGGTAGGTAATTGGGAATTGGGCTGTGTGAATCAAGAGTGTTGGTCAATTCTCGGTCTGTTAGAGAGTCGGTCTTGGTTGCCAACTTCCGCGACGTGGGGGGTTTTTGGCTGTGCTGATATCGATGACGAATACCTTTTATATGGGTGGCCCGTGGCTGTGGAGCTAGCTTTTTTGCCGTCATTTGTTTATGGGGATGGGGTGGCTTCTGAAAAATGGAGTACAAAGTTGGAATTTTAGAGGCACATTTTAAATGTGGGGTGTATTCATAAGGATGTGGAGCGTTAATAAAACAACCCATTTTTTTAACGTAGTTTCTTTCTTTATGACGGCAAGTGTTGGTTTGAGAAAACGAAAGCTGTTATTTTATTTTTATAAAAGTTGATCTGTGAGCTTTCAGTTTTATTTGGAGAGATGCTTAATGGAACTTTGGTTGGGTGAATATGCAGGCTTCAATGTATCACAGTCGCAGATCAATATCCGGTTTATGAGCCTCAATCGTCCAGGCATAATCATCCGAAGCGATCAAGACCTGCCATGGAAATCGTTACCAAATTTCGTTTGAAATACCTGTAATAAAACTTTGAACGTACGATAACAAATTAGGAAGCCAAATCACCAGTAAGGCACATGGAGCCTTCAAAGAGGTTCCAAAAATTAGGTTATTTGGACGAAAACCATCACCTGAATGGTTTTGTCCAAAATCCAAAATATTACCAGAACGGGGAGGAAAGGGAAATAATTTTATTTTTGGTGGACCTTTAGCGGCGGCCTTTTGATCGCAGTATAATATAGTTTTTGCGGCAAAAAGTGATGAATTTATTGTCACCAAAAGTCATTTAACGTTTTTAGACCTAAAAATGGTCACTAAAAAAGGTAAAGTCGCCGCTAAAACTAGAAAATCGCTGCAATAGATTCAAAGTCGTCATTTTAGACTCAGACTCGCCAACTTTCTACTTTTTCAAGTGTTTTTGCTTCCGTTTTCTGCTCGATGTTTATCTTCCTTCCATTAAATACTAGAGGCGATTTAGTAAACCTTGAAAGAAGAGTTTATGTCTCATTTTCTTGAAGTTAGACCCACAACCAAATTCGAAAGTCATGAAATAGCTTATAAAGTAAGTATGTTTACTAATGCTAGTGTGAATTATGACATTCCTGTCCGGTGTATTTTCTGCATGCCCATCAAAGACGCATCCCTAACAACACCGGCATCCATGTACCGCTCCTCCTTCATTGATTTTCCCTTTAAACTTTCGTTGATTGGTCGAAGTTTCCATACATGGCAATCCAACAATTCTAACATGAATGTGTTGAATAACATAAAAAGTCTCATACCGGCTAAAACAAATCACCAATTCAAATTTAACTGCATCAACGCGATTTGTGATAAAGTTCCATGCCTATAGTTTTGCACATGTAATCAAGTTGATGCAGTATCGGTGTGGTTAATGATGAATTATTAATCCATCTCCTTGAAATCTTTGTAGCTAATTAAATGGAACATAAATGAAAGTCATACGCATGAACATTACATATTTAGTCTTCAACTAAAGCAAACATGCCACTGGTTTTCATTGTTGTTGGGATGACCGTTTCACAACCTTCACTCTCTACTTCGCAGATGTGGTTTTCCATGAAATAAATTAAAAAGGAAAAATTGGCCAAATAGTCAAAGATAGAATTGTTATTGTTGAATTGATCGAAATCAAAATATTGATGACATAAATCAAATGCCAATGATAAAGCGATTTATTTGGAGGGTGATTGTGCTAGGCCACACAAAGGGTCAACCACTAACTAGGTATCGAATTCAATACAAATATAATACATCCAAGAGGTTCTAACTTCAAACATCCCCCTTACAAATAAAGAGAAATGTCACTAAATTGTAGTACTAATTAGTTCTTACAAGTTTTCAAGTTCTATAAGATTGAAAATTTAAGAATGGCCCTTTGAAAGTCCTTTTAAGTGAATTTTTTTAGAAGAATGCTAGCAGCCTTCTCACTGACCCACTCACACGAGACACATTCTTCCTTTTGTCCTTTGTTTTACAACGATATTTTACTCTAGGGGAGGAGAAAATTATATTCCAAGGGGATGAGGAATTAGGCTAGACCACACAATATGGGTTGCAATCATGAACTAGGTATCAAACTCAAAACAAAAATAATACGTCCTCACAATCCAAGAGAGTCGAAATAGTGGAGAAGAATATCATTAGATCATAATACTAGTTGGTTTAATATACACTACACAAATTCAACCCACAAAGGAATCGAGGCCAACTTGGTTCTTGTATGGCTGCGTCAATGTTTCAAGTTTGGACCACCCAGGTTCCTACATAGCTTAGGCTCTGCCATTTTCATTTTCATTTTCATTTTAAGGACTTGAAATCGGTTTTCTCTTTTCTACTATCGCTCGTATTAAAACAAAAAGAAAAATAACCACTTAATACTACGATCTAGTGATATTCCTCTTCACTTGTAAGTGAAAAGTCTTAAGTTTGATTATCGCCAAAGGTAAATTTGAATCACATTATTGCTAACCTATTGTGAGACTAAGTCCAACCCCCATTCCTTTTAGTGTAGATAATATCGATTGTTAAAAAAAAAATGAAAAATACAATGAGAAGATGAAAGTAATTTAGAATAGTGGGTCCAAAGTCCAAAGTGCAAACATGAAATGGGCCCATAATTGAATACAATCGTCCGTCTTCCACTTCACAGCTTCTGACGACAAAAACCGACGACGTTCAGCGGACACCTGCAGTCGTGGCCGAACCGATTCAGAGGAATCAAAACAACGACGACCCTTGATCGCATCGATTAGATTACAACGATTCGTGGCGTGGAAGCGATTTAATCGTTCGTTAATCGCATGGAAAAATCCTGGTAAAACCCTAAAACTTATTTTTTATTAGCAATATCTGTGAAATTTGGATTGCAAATTAGTTGGTAAGTTAATTCAATTTACGGATAATCAAGTTCAACTCTGATTGATTGCAAATGCAGTTGTATGTATTTCTTGTAAATCAGTTCATGCTGGATAGGGATTATTCATAAGAAGCAAATAAATGGCTAATTAGATGATAATTTAGTGGAATCCATCTGTATTTTTGCACTAATTATAGTAGGATACAACAAGTTAGGGTTCTAAATTAGAACAGAAATAATGCTAATTGACATGTTGGTCCCTGGTGTTTCGGCGACTCTAAATTCCTAGCAGGTCGAAAAGAGGGGAACACCTAAGACCCCTATGTAATAATTGGAGTTCGATTTTTGCCCCTGTTGATGCACAAAATCGAGTGGACCTTGAATCAACGTAAAGACTAACGAGTGATGTGAGGACTTCGTGAGGGCGCTTTGGTCAAAGGTAGACTGACAAAGCTACCTGCAAGGAAGATAGAGTAAGTATCAAAGGGCACCGGTGTGGTACCGGCCTAAGAGCCTCCAATGCTTAAGTTAGCAAAGTAAGTTTAGGTTGCTGCGTGGGTGAGTTTAGTGGTACTATAGTGTTGAATAGTAAATGTGATTAACCCTTTGAATGGAGTAGAGGCTACCTTTTTATAGAGGCAAAGTTGGAGAAGATTTCTTGACTTTGGCCAATGTGGGATTGAATGTATTTAATGTGGTGTTGCCACTTGTTGCATCATGATTGACTCCAACTTGGAGAGAAATCTCCCATTAGTTATGGGAATAGCCCCGTGTCTTGGCTCTCACTTGTTATGAGGTTGATTCGTGCGCTTAGACACCCTTGCTGAAGCGGGGATCCTTCGGATGGTTACCGAGGCTTCCTAGTTGATCTGTACTTGGCGGTTTCAAGGTCGATATAACATATACAAGCATCCCCAATTCTGCATTCCTTTTAAAGTTCGAATCACCATTTTCAATTTTGTCTGTTAAGTGCGCACTACAGGAAAATATTCACATGTTAAGCAGTTTCAAAGTGTTTGATCGATCAAGTCATTCCTTATTGAATAGTTTGAAGATTGGTATCTCATTTACTTTGTAATTGGTTTTAAATGTACTTTTCATGTATTTGGTTTCTTTCGTTCACTAGTCTGAGGCGAAGTATATAGCATCACTGTATCAGTATGAATGGCGTAAAAATCTATATCCTAAGATGACAAAAGCACTGGTAATGCACCTAGGGAAACATGAAAGTTGAATTCATAATGGCCTCGTTACCCGAATTTGGCATCTGTTTAAGTTCTGCTGATGTTTAAGCCTTTACATTTCAGGAGCTTTTTCTTTCGGTTTTCGGTTAGTTCTTATGAGGCAAATGAGCTTCATCATGTAATCCATGTTTATTTAGGACTTAAAAATCAATTTTTGTCCAATTTTGCATCTAATTATTTGCAAGTGCGTTCTCCATTCAGTTTGGTTGTATTTGGCAAGACAAGGAAACCAGTTGAAATATGGCTTGACATGTCTTATTTATACATTTTGGGGCTCTGTTCACTTGGAGTCTGGTGCCCTTTGATGGTCATATATCCTAGATTCCTGGTGCTTTGTGTGACTCAGAGAGTTACATTTGACTCGGGTCTGTTCTGTTTCCTGCTATTCGTAAATTACTAAATTTCATCCCTAGTATTTGCGCAATAATTTCTTTTCTCCAAAAAAAAAAAAAAGGGTGCAATAATCTCCTGTTTAATGCAGTGTCAGTGAATTTGATGTTTATTTGTGAGTTAAAACACTTAATTTCTGTTTCTTATTAGTTGTATTTTGGCTGTTGGTGGAGCAGTTATGCAGTAGCATTTTTTTACCGGGTAGTCTACTAAGTTCTGTACGGTTCTCTGAACTCAGTCTTTGAATTTAACCTCGTCCACTTTCTGTGGAATCAGTTGGAAACTGGTTGCATGCTTATGTGGGTTTGGAACCCTAGTCCTTCGAGAATGCTAACCTGAAAGTAAATTCTAACTGGCTTTAATCGGAGATATTTGGTAATACATGTCATTGTTCCTTTCACATCTTGTTGTTGGTTTCTGCAGTGATTTTCTTATTGTCCTTGAAAAGTTTTACGTAGTTTCTTTCCGACTACGAGTGTTTGGAAACGATAGCTGTTATTTTGTATCTATAAAAGTTGATTTGTGAGTTTAGGTTTGTTTTCGAGAGATGCTTAATGGAACTTTGGTTTTGTGAATATGCAGGCGTCAATGTATCACAGTCGCAGATCAATATCCGGTTTATGAGTCTCAATCGTCCAGGCATAACCATCCGAAGCGATCGAGACCTGCCATGGAAATCGTTACCACATTTCGTGTAAAATGGTTGTAATAAAACTTCGAATCGTATGATAACGAATTAGAAAGCCAAATCACCAGTAAGGCACATGGAGCCTTCAAAGAGGTTCCTAAAATTAGGTTATTTGGACGAAAACCATCACCTGAATGGTTTCGTTCAAAAAACAAAATATTAAGTGAACGGTGGGGGAAGGAAATTTTTTTATTTTTGGTGGACCTTTAGCGGCGATCTTCCGATCGCCATATAATATAGTTTTTGCGGCGAAGAGTGACGACTTTGTTGTCGCAAAAAGTCACATAACATTTGTTAGACTTAAAAATGGCCACTAAAAGTTGTAAAGTGGCCGCTAAAACCAGAAAACCGCCGCAATAGACACAAAATCGTCATTTTAGCCTCAGACTCACCAACTTTCTACTGTTTCAAGTGTTTTTGCTTCCGTTTTCTGCTCGATATTTATCTTCCTTCCATTAAATATTAGAGGGGATTTAGCAAACCTTGAAAGAAGTATTTACGTCTCCTTTTCTTGGAAGTTATAACCACAACCAAATTAGAAAGTCAAAAAGTAGCTTCTAAAGTATGTTTCTTTGCAACTAATGCTAGTGCAACTTATGAGATTTTTTTTCCATTTCATTTTCTGCAGAATGCACGATGTTGCAGCCAAATATTATCCAGTTAATGCTTAAGATTAACTTTACACTTGGAGTAGCTCTCGCAACAAGACTCCGCAACGCCTTCCCCCATTGCGCGGCGTATATCTACCAAGTCGAGCAAAGCAGTATATATATAATTGCAGAAGTAAGTTTGAATGTATATTTGTAGGGGTGATGGAATCATTAATACGAGATTGAGCTATGGCAAGCACAAGCATGCCCATCAAAGACACAGCCCTAGAGCCCTAAAAACACCGGCATCCATATAGCGCTCATATGTCGTCGATTTTCGCTTTGAATTCTCGTTGATTCTCGAAGTTTGATGGCGGAGGAAGTGTAGTTAACACTACAGTTTGTAGGGCAACCGTGTTGTCATCTATAATGGTAATCCCAACAATTTCTAAGATGATTGTGCTGAATAACGGAAAAAGTCTCATATCGGGCTAGAACAAATCACCATTCCAATTTTAATTGCATCAACGCATTTTGTGATAAAGTCTCACGTCTATATATATGCACATGTGGTTAAGTTGACGACAATATCAGTGTGATTAGTGACGAACTATTGGTCTATCTCTTTGAAATCATTCAAGCTATTGAAATGGAGCATAAATGAAAAGTGTACATGCACACAACCTTCAACATTCTCAGATGTGCTTTCCATAAAAATAAAAAAAAATTCGAAATCAAATATTGATGACACATAAACTAAATATCATTGACAAAACGATATTTTATTAAGAGAGGATTTGGCTTGGTTACACAATGGGCCAACCACTAACTAGGTATCGAACTCAACGCAAATATAATGCATCCAAGATGGTCTAAGTTGAGATCTCTCACTTACAAGTAAAGAGAAATATTACTAATAAAATTCAATTTACAAAGGGATCAAGACAACCCTGGTTTCTGTATAGCTCCGTCGCTATTTCTAGTCTAGAACACCCAGGTTCCTTCATAGCTCCGTCATTTCTATTTTCATTTTGGGGACTTAGAAATTAATTTTCCCTCTCTTTTTATCGCTCGTATTAAAAAAAAAAAAAAAAAAAAAAAAGAAGATGAAAGTAATTTAGACATAGTGGGTCCAAAGTGCAAAGTTCAAAACACGAAATGGGCTCATAAGTCGAAAGAAATCCTCTTCGGATCTCTTCTATCAAAATCATCGGATCAAATGATTCGGATCTTTGAAATTTCATCCAACAGTAAAATTGAAGTCAAAATTACACAAAAATCTAGTCCTTCATTTACAATGAGTTTTCAAGGTATTTTTTTTGTAGCTCAACAAGTGGGTGTATAGTTCACCTTAATTTATTCAAATATTAATTTTTCAAACTCTTATAGAGAACTGGGGCTGTACAAACCCCCAAATTTTGGCGCGATATTGATTTAAGCAGTATTACCAACTTGAATATAGCCAGCCTCATGAAGTGAATTGACGAAAATATCCCTAAATGTAACATGTTTTAACGACAAAATGGATGGTTTTACGTGGTAGACTCCAACTGTTAAGAAAGTCTAGGTGATAAAAAACAAAAATTAAAAGTTCAGGTGGTATTATCACGCATACTTGCAAGGTCAAATGGTATTTGTGCAAAAAAAAAAACTCCATAAAATCAATTTGACAATCAATCAAACAACTTTTTTTTTTTTTTTTTTTTTTTTTTTACAGCGATACATTTATAATAAAATAATATAAGAATGAATAGTATCAAACTTGTCATCAACGAAACCTCTCTTCTTGTTTGAAAATAAAAAATAAAAGAAGAAGGTGAATTAGAATAGCCAACAGGATCCTTTCCGGATCCTTTTGGTGAGAATCTTGAGGATCCGTGAATCGTGTTTGTTTATCGTACATTGTACAGTCAGTTTTTGTCAAGTATTGTTTATGTTTATTTTTAAATAAAAATATTTTTTAATTGTACGTTATACGATAAACAAACATGATTCACGAATCTCTGAGATCCTCAAGGAGGATCCGAGGAGGATCCAGACTCTTAGAATAGCGGGTCTGCAAACATGAGACAGGCCCATAAGCGAATACCATCGTCCGTCGGGCCACAGAAAAACCCGGTTTCTCCTTCTCGTTCTTTTCCCTCTCTGCTCCAGAACTTTTAACGACCAAAACGTCGACGTGCAACGGATCCCTGCGATCGTCGCGGAACCGAATCAGACGAATGAAAGCGACGACGACCCTTTATCGCATGGGTCACAACGATTGGTGGTGCGGAAGCGATTAAATCTTTCGTTAATTGAACGGAAACATCCTGGTAAAACCCTAATCCTTTTAGCAATGCAATATTTTGTGAAATTTGGATTATTAAATTATTTGATAATTTAATTCTATTTAGTTAAGTAAATGGCTAATTAAAAATTCAGTTTTGATTGATTGCAAATGCAATTGTATGTATTTATTGGAAACCAGGCTGGATAGGGATTATATATGCGAAGCAAATAAATGGCTAGTTAGATGATAATTTCATGCAATTTATCTGTGTTTTTTGCTCCTAATTATAGTAGGATAAAGAGGGTCACTAAAGGTGCAGGAATAAATTGGTATCGAACTTTCCATCTACAAGATTCGGACCAAGACCTATGACTTACTGTGAAAAAGAATACTACTAGACCATCACCATAGTAAATTAGAACTGAAAGTTTGGATCACCGTTTTCAAGTTCATCGATAAGTACTACACGAAAGTATTCACGTGTTAATGCAGTTTCAAAGTGTTTTATCGAATAGTTTGAAGATTGGTATCTCATTTACTTTGTTATTCGATTTGCATGTATTTTGCGTCTATATGGTTTCTTTCGTTCACTAGCCTGAGGCGAAGTATTTCACATCAATGTATCATCATGAATGCTGTAAAAATGTAGATGATAAAATGACACAAGCACTGGTAATGCACCTAGGGAAACATGAATTTCATACTGTCATGGCGACCCGTATTTGGTGTCCGTTTTAAGTTCTGCAGATGATTAAGCCTTTACATTTTAGGAGCATGTTCTTTCTGTTTTTGGTGGGTTCTTATGAGGCAAATGAACTTCATCACGTCTCCATGTTTTATTTAGGACTTAAACATCAATTTCCGTGTGAGTTTGCATTTCATTGTTTGCAAGAGCATATTGAGATTTCGTCATTCAGTTTGGTTGTATTTGGCAAGGTATGCAAATCGGTCAAATATTCGGTGCCATAACTTATTTATAGCTTGTGGGGTTCTATTCACTTGTGTTCTGGTCCCCTCCAATGCTCATGTATCCCAGACTCCTGGTGCTCTGCGTGAATCAGAGTTAAGTGCGTTACAATTTAGCCTGGTCTTTTCTGTTTCCTGCTGTTCAGGAATTTTGTCCCTTGTATTGTGCAATAATTTCTTTTCTCAAAAAAATTGTGAGTCAAGTTTTGAATTTATGTTCTTTGTTAGTTTTTTCTTCGCCCCACTTAGTGGGAAAAGGTTTTGTAGTTGTTGTTGTTGTTGGTAGTTTTAACTTCGCTGTTGTCGGAGCAGTTATGCAGTATCTGTTTTGGTTCCTCGTGTAGTCTACTTTCGGTGGAGTAAGTAGTTGGAAACTGGCTTCATGCTTTTCTAGGTTTGGAACCCTAGTCCTTTCAGAATGCTAAGCTGAAAATAAATTTCAACTGGTTTTGACCGGTGATATTTGGTAATGCATGTCATAGCTCTCATCTTGTTTTCGTTTTATGCAGTGATTTTCGTAATGTGCTGGAAATGTTTTACGTCGCGTCTTTCCGATTGCAAGTGTTGTTTGGAATATCTTGTTGTTATAAAAGTCGATTTGTGAGCTTAAGTTTTATTTGGAGAGACGCTTAATGGAACTTTGGTTGGGTGAATGTGCAGGCTTCAATGTGTCGCAATGGCTGATCGATATCTGGTTTGTGAGTTTCAATCGTCGAGGCATAATCATCCGAAGCGATCAAGACCTGCCAAGGAAATCGTTACCAAATTTCATTTAAAATGGTTGTAATAAAACTTTGAACGTACGATAACTAATTAGGAAGCCAAATCACCAATCAGGCACATGAAGCCTTCAAAGAGGTTCCTAAAATTAGGTTATTTGGACGAAAACCATCACATGGATGGTTTCGTTCAAAAAACAAAATATTACGTGAACAGGGAGGGAAGGAAAGAATTTAATTTTTTATGGACCTTTAGCGGCGACCTTTAAATCGCCATATAATATAGATTTAGGGGCGACAAGTGACGAATTTATTGTCGCAAAAGGTCATTTAACATGTTTTAGATCTAAAAGTCGTCACTAAAAGTATTAAGGTCGCCACTAAAACTAAAAAACCGCTGCAATAGGTTCAAAATCGTCATTTTAGCCTCAGACTCGCCAACTTTCTACTGATTTAAGTCTTTTAGCTGCAGTTTTCTGCTCAATATTTATCTTCTTTCAATTAAATACTAGAGGCAATTGAAGTAAAGCATGAAAGAAGTATTTACGTCTCATTTTCTTGATGTTATATCCGCAATCCAATTAGAAAGTAATGAAATAGCTTGTAAAGTATGTTTGTTTGCAAATGCTAGTGTGAATTATGACATTTTTTTTTTCCAGTTTATTTTATGCAAAATGCAAGATGTCAGCAGCCGAATAATATCAAGTTAATTCTTAAGTTTAATTTTAGTTTTGGAGTACCTCTCGTAATAAGAATCCGCAAAGCCTTCTCACATAGCGCGGTGTATATCTACAAAGTCAAGCAAAACAATCATAAACAGTTCACACACACAGACACACATAGTATATACACACCTGTGGACGGAGATGGCTTGGGCTCCCGGGCGCCGGGGGGGGGGGGGGGGGTTGGTGATATGTGGGGTGTGGGGTGTGGGCGGGGATGCCCCCACTTAATTATTTTTTAAACTTTTAGTTGCTTGTGATATTAGTATTAACTCTTTTATGCACTATTGCCATCGTTGGAAGAACATATTCAGTCGTAAAATTTCTGTTGAGAAATTGAATGGAAGATTATTGGATAAATGATAACATGATTATTTTTTTATAAAGAGAGATTTAATGGTATTAGTAATGAAGTTGTCATTCAACGTTTGAAAACATGAAACGCGTCGAGGGTTATTGTAATAAGTTGTATAAAAAAACCTTATGGATTAATGTATAAGTGTTTTGTTGAGTACATTCCTGAACTTTTTAATTTGTAACATTGTTATTTGAGAGTACCCCCATCCATGCAGATCTCTAACTTCGTCCTTGCCTGCAGAAGTAAGTTTGAATGTATATTATGGGGGTCATCTTTCGTTGATTTTCGCTTTGAACTCTCGTTGATTCTCGAAGTTTGATGGTGGAGGCAGTGTAGCCAAAGCTACAGTTTTATAAGAAGATCATGTTACAATCTATAATGGCAATCCCAACAATTTCAAAGATGATTGTGTTGAATAATTTTGAAAGTCCTATATGTCGGCTAAAACAAATCATCATTCCAAATTTAATTGGATCAACGTTGTTTGTTGTGCTGAGAGCCGAGGAGTTCTCTCCAAAGAAATCTTCACCCGAATAAATGCGCTTTGTGATAAAGTCTTTTGTCTATAGGTTTGCACATGTGATCAAGTTGATGGCAATATCAATGTAATTGGTGCTAAACTATTAGTCATCTCTTTGAAATCTTTATAGCTAATAAAATATGGAGCATAAATGGAAGTGACACATACATGAACATTATATATGTAGTGTTCAACTAAAGCAAACATGCCATTAGTTTTCATTGTTGTTGGGATGACCGTTTCACAAACCTGCACTTTCTGCCTTCTCAAGTGTGGTTTTATAAAATAAATTAAGAAATAAAATTTTTGCTAAATAATAAAAATTTTATTGCTAAATTGATCGAAATCAAATATTGCTGACACATAAACCAAATATGAATGTGTTGAATCTAAAAATTACAAAACCTACGTGGCGCGCAGGCCGAGTAACTAACAAGCTAACTACGTCCTTCGGTTGAATGCGGGGCGTGCCAACTTGTCGGCCGAGCTTGGCTGAGGAGTAAAATTTGTTGATGTCGCGTCGAGCATGTCGTTGACTTCTCTATCTTGCGATTGCGATCGAGGAAGGAACACTCTCGGTCTCTGGGTTCTATAGCCTAAAGACAAGGCTACTAATTCTTCAGAGTTCACAAATCGTCGGAGCCCGATTCGGTCACTGTGATTATATTCGTAAGAGTATAAGCACGCCGAATCGAGACCAAACTATATGGGCACAGATACTCAAATGTGATGTATGTCTTGATGGTAAACGTAGTTCGGGCGTCGGAATGCCGAACCCTGAAACTTACTTGCGAGTACCCAATCATAAAATCACTCAGCGTCCAATACGCCGAGCAATGCAATTCGTAACACCTGACTATACCGAGAAGGCTAGCAAGATGACCTCTACCAACAAGGATTCGAAAACCCTTCTCAGTTGAGACTTACATAGGTAACCGGTCGGCCTCGACGCAGTGCTGTTTATCCAAACTGAAGGTGCTTTTCGGTCGGCTGATTCTGCGGCAACAGTGCTGTTTATCCAAACTGAAGGTGTTTGCCGGGTGCCTTCACAGTGCTGTTTATCCAAACTGAAGGTATATCGGCAGAAAAAGAAAAAGAAAAGATCTCAAGGTATTTGAGAGGTTTTGCGCAGGGCAATTGTATGCAGATTTTGAAGACCCTTTCTGTTGCATGATTTCCTGTATTTATAGCACCTCATTCCTTGAGACCGATTTGCATCCTGATCTGGATTGGGAGTCCTTGTCCCGTTTCAACTCTAACTCGAACAAACCTACTCCCACTGGGATTCTGAATTTTCCTTCTTTTCGAGGCTTTATTCTTTGCCGGTCAGGAATCCTGGTCGCACCAGGAATTCCTCGACCCTTTTCTATTTATCCGGACTACCTAGGATAGGACTGCCAACTGGCCCGGGATTTATCATTCGGCTCATAGTATTTGACACAACCTTGGGCCGAGCACATCCTGCTGCTGGGCCCAACAATATTATTTTGGGCCCAAACAGAATGTCAAAACGGTATTTTACTAGGATCTAACTTGAGATCTCTCCCTTACAAGTAAAGAGAAATATCACTAAATTGTAGTACTAATTAGCTATAGCAACCCTTTTCAAGTTCTATAAGATTGAAAGTTTTAGAATGGGCCTCTCAGAGTGTTCAAAGTCCTTCAAGTGAAAGAGAATTTAAGAGAATATTAACATTCTTCTCGCTTACCTTTTCATTTCAACATTTTCACTTTTACTTATCTTTTTGTCAATGATAAATTAGAGAGTTCAATGTAGTGCATGGCTTTTAGATCAAACTAAACCCACCCACCCAAGACACACTCTTCATTCCTCACGTTGATTTACAATGATATTCTACTCTAGGGCAGGAGAAAATAATATTCCAAGGGAATAGGGAATTAGGCTAGGGCGCGCAATATGAGGGGCAATCATTTACTAGGTATCAGACTCAACTCAGTCTTAACAATCCAAGAGAGTTGAACTAGTGAAGAAGAATATCATTAGACCATAGTACTATTTTGTTTAATATATACTGAAAAAAAAAAATCACTAATAAAACTCAACTCACACAGGGATCGAGACCAACCTAATTCCCGTATAGCTTCATCACTGTTTCTAGCCTAGACCACCTCGATTCCTACATAGCTCCGGCTCCGCCATTTTCATTTTCATTTTCATTTTGAGGACTTGAAATCGATTTGCCCTCCCTTAATATTGCTCGTATTAAAATAAAAAGGAAATAAAAAAAATATACACAAAATGAAGATGAAAGTGATTTAGAATAGTGGGTCCAAAGTGTAACACACAAAATGGGCTCATAAGCAAATACAATCGCCGGTCGGGCCACAAGAAAATCCAGTTTCTCTCCTCCTCGTTCTTTCTGCTTTCCACTTCAGAGCTTTTGAAGACCAAAACGACGACGTGCAATGTACCCCTGCGATCCTGGCCGAATCGATTCAGTGGAATTAAAACTAGGGCTGGAAAAAAATCCCAAAAATCCCAAACCAAACCGAAAAAATCCCGATCCCAAACCAAAAAAATCCCAAACCAAAATTCCCGAAAATTTCGGTATGTCATCCCGAACCAAACCGAAATTTTCGGTATGGGATTCGGGATTACATCTCCATTTTTTCGGTATTCCCATACCGAATAGAAATAAATATTATATATATATATATATATTATTTTTTAATTGAGGTGTTTGCAAAGGGTGTGGAGAAAGATCATGTCATTCTTCTAGCTGCAAGGTCATCCAGAACTGAAAACCAGGATGCCATTGATGCTGCTATGGTTGGAATGCTTGCCGACCCAAAGGAGGTATAAATCATTTCCAACTTTTCTTGTATGCCCTATAATTGATTCTTCATTAATTCTGGGACGGAATTTTCAATGGATATGCTCATCTTAATGAATTCATTTATACGCAGGCCCGAGCTGGTATTAGAGAGGTGCACTTCATACTCACAGACTAATGAATTGATTTCTGTAATTAGATTTTGGACCTCTGCCTCTGCAAAGAAGATTTCAAGAAGAAGGCTTTTACCATTATTGACAAATATGCTGAACGTGGGCTTCGGTCATTGGCTGTTGCTAGACAGGTTTTATACTCAACCTTGACGTTTTTAGCATCTCTTGCACTTTTTTCAGTTTTATAAGAAGTAGAGCACCGGCTTATAATTGTGATTGGTATATGTTTACAGGAAGTGCCGGCGAAAACAAAAGAAGGTTCTGGTGGTCCATGGCAGTTCGTTGGATTGTTGCCTCTTTTCGACCCTCCAAGACATGATAGTGCAGAAACCATCCGCCAGGCTCTTAACCTTGGTGTAAATGTTAAGATGATTACTGGTAAATCGGTTAATATTCAACCTACTTTAATGGGTAGTGGGTAGATTAAAGCTTAATTTTAGCCCAAAAATATAATATGTCAAATTTTAGCCCAAAAACATAATATGTCAAATTTTAGTCCAAAAGCCCAAAAACATTTCGGGATTCCCGATTTGTTCCGAAATCCCGAAATTATTTCGGGATTCCCGAAAATTTGGTTTGGGATTGGTATTGAATTTGGGATTCCCAAAAATTTCGGTTTGGGAATCGGGACAAGGGTTTCGGTATGGGATCCCATACCGAACCACCCCTAATTAAAACAACAA